AATGTTTCTTTTGCTCTCGAACACAAAACTTAATACATATTTTTTTTTCTTCTTTTATGAACACTCGCATGTATACATTTTAGATTATATTTCAACATTTTTGTAGGACATTATCGTTTATTCGAATTTGGACTTTTATTTTACCCAAATAAACCCCAATTTGTTTTGCAAATTAAAATTTTTTTATTTACTTTTTATTATGATTGTATTTTTAATAATTCATAATATTTAAAGAACAGCAAAATTGTCGTGATAGGGTTCTAATTTCACTTATCTACAATCGGTAACTACTCGGTCGGTAAAGTAAATTTCTATTCTTATCAACAGTCGACAAAGTAGATTCCTATTATTATCAACAGTCGGTAAAGTAGGTTCCTCGTATGAATTCTACTTGTCAATTATTTTCTCAACAAATAATTACTTATTTAATCTAAATATATTTAATTCTCTTTTTGTCATGGAAACAATTTTTGGATTCTCCTTCGATATTTGTACTATTTTTTTTTCAAATGAGAATAATTTCATATCATGTGCGAACTGTTGTGTAAAAAAAGAAATTAACTATTTCAGTGAATCATTTTGTAAGTCGATAATGAAAGAAAAAAAATTGCCTCATGCAAACTTTATACTTTCATGAACGAGAGGCGTTCACTGTTTCCAAATCTGACCAAACGACCTATTGAAAATGCTATAGGTAAAAAAAAAATAATTTTATGCCAGTAAAATTAGAGGTTACGGATGTTTATTGTTTCATTTTTAGTACATATATGCAATATTAAAAAAAAAAAAAAAAAGAAACAGAAATTCGATTTGAGAAGATAGCAGCATTGCTACTGGGTAAAAGTGATGGTTTTTCTTATATGTATATGTATTATAGGGTCCTCCGCGCGCATTGTCGACTATAGAGGCGTGGTGAGCATTAACCGAGCATTACTCAGGCCGACGGGACGGTTCAAGGAGATCCAGCAGTGCTCTCACGGTAGGCTGCCGTGTGCCTCGCCCGTATTCGGGTCAGCCGAGTACTGTCGTGATGTAACCGTAACACGGCCTATTCCCACCGTTTTTACCGGAAGTCAAGACACGTTCCTCAACTCAGCGAAAATCATAACATTTTCATACTACTTTGACCAATAATAATGTCTTATTTAAACGATTTTTTTTTCTTATTATTTTCTTTGACCTCGATTTTATATTTGACTATATCTATTGGATTTAATTTGATTTTTACCAAATAATAATCGATTGATTGACGATTAATCGATTTATTATTATTTATGTGATAAAAATCGACTTCTATTTAAGATGTATATAAAATATTTAATGTATATAAAATATTTGAGAATAATTTTAAAAAATCTCGTATGCATGGGGGATCGAACCCATGACCCTTGGGACGCGAGCCTTGTACTCTGACCTCGCAGCCACGCTGACATATAAATCTTTTTCTTAACACTTCTTCTTGAAAGACTTTATATTCTGTTTGTGGTAACAAAATAAGTACTACATTTTTAAATTCTTACACCTAAATATAATATTTGATAATCATTTCAAATGATTTATTGAAAAAATCATAAAATTCTTTTAATTTGTATTTTTGTTATATTCTTTAAATTTGTCTTTATTTAAATTTATTTCTATTGTTTTATTGTTAAATTATTTTTTTTATTAATTACCATCTCATATTAATTATTTTATTTCTTAGTATTTTTTTTGTTTTTAATTAATTTTTACAATTTTATATATGTAGTTATAGTTATCTAAAATAAATGAAATTTTTCTAACGAAAGAATCTTTAAGGACATTGTTAAAGGGCAATTAAGTTGGCGGAAGACCTTTTTAAAACCGTAAAGGCCTTTACAATCTCCCTTGGAAGTTCAATTTTCTTTAATAGAGGAAAAAAATTTATGGGCTTTTAGATATGACACATGTGTTAAGATTGAAAATTTTATTCTTTTCAACTAATTAAAAAATCGAAGGAAAAAAAACAAACAATCAATATCTTCTTATTAATATTCTATAATTTACAATTTTTTCACAATTACTTTTTATTTTTAAGCATTGAACAAAATTCTTCTAAATACCATTGATATTTTTTTGTCAATAAGGGAAATATTTTTAGACAACTATTATTAAAAGGGAATAATCTTATAAATATAAAGGATTCTTCTTACGTTCTGATTCGCTCTTTCTTCATCATATAAAAAGAATCCAATGCACTGTAGTGCATTACAGATAAAAAAATGAAAAACATTTTCTATTTCAAAATGTTTTATTCTTTTGTATAATAAAAAAAAGGAGCAACAGTTGAATTTTTATATATTGATAAAATGTATATAAGTACGATCAACTTCAAGGGAATGTATATACATAAACTTGCGTATACATTATTCATTCTTACAATATTCAATGTATGGTTCAATGTATTTTATGTTCACAATCAGTATTCAAAGTACCCGATTATTCCCTATATACATCCTGTTTGCCTGTTTGTTTATAATACATACAATTTAATCCGAATAATTTACTGCACTATTTTCAATGTTCACTATCTATATATATACTCTGGGAAAAAAAAGATTATCGAATCAAAGAAATATGGATCTAGTGAATCAAAATATATCCAAGCATATATAGAGATTTCAAGGATATGAAATATATTCCTCTCGGAACATATTCCGACTGGTTCAATAAAGACATGATGCATAGTGTATATAACGTAAGGGGCAGATATAAAGCTATTAATAACTTTATATTGTTGCTTTTATTTTTATTTGCGAGTGTAGTGTTAATGGTATATAACTCGAGCATTTGATTATTAGATTTTTAAAAATTGCAAAGGTTCACACAATTTATCAGAATCAACACATTACAATGTTTTTACAATTATATATATATATATATATATATTATTTATATAAATTATAGTAATACAATACTGTAATTAGTAATAATTTAAAAGAAATTGAACCAAATTCCTTCAAAAGCAAACAAAAGAATTATTTTAATTATAATGAAAGAGAAATGGCTCATAATTTATGCAAAAAAGAATTATAAAACTTTAATTACAAAGAAAATACTTTTATAATCATTCGGAAATGGGTCTTTCACAAACTAATCATTTATTTTCTTTAATGATAAATACCTTTTTAATCATTATACACTAATTGTATACATAAAATTATAAAATCGATTTATTACACGATATATGTTAGTTAACATTATTAGAATTTCGTAATATATATATTTATTCCCCTGAAAGAATTTTTTCCAAAAGATCGAAATTCTTCTATGAAACATTTTTATATGCTCATTGAATAAATTTTAAGTAATATATATATATTAAGGTAAATATTATACGTTATTAATATATAATATGGCAATTATGTAATTATTTAAATGGCCTATTAATTAAAAGTTACATGGTAAATTAAAACTAGAATATCTACCAGGAAATGTAGTATAAATGTATAATATTAAGTTTCAGTATTCAATATCAATATTAATGCCCCCCTCGCCTCTATGGTATCAGTGATAAAGATCGATTACACGCGCGCTCAATAACATTTTCGATAAACTTTTATTCAATTATTATCGAATTCATCTTGTTACTCAAGAGTATATAAAAATATACTTTATTCTCGTAATTCGTACGATTCTGGAATTTTGAAATGCTGACCTGTTTAAAACTCAAGTGAAGCACACAATCATTATTCCCTTGTCAGAGACAATTTATGCACTATTGCAAAAAATTGTTTCAGATTCCACAATTCGATATATTTTATTTTCACTTTCTTTATATCTACTATTTATTTTAATTTTCTTTACTATAATCATTTTCTCATATTTATATATAGGGAGAATACAAACTTGGAATGAAAATTTAAATAAAATGTTCAATCCCTTTGGAACATGTTAGAATTCTTGACATACAATGCACAAAATAAATTAAACAATTACTAATAACAAAGTGCAATTAATCTCCATTTGTTCACTTATTTACTTCCGCCGCATGAAAGTTTTTACTTTTGCGAAAGTTTCTTCCCGAGAAAGAATGCCTAGCGTGATTGTTATCTTGTAATAATGATTGTTGGGAGAGTATAAAACCAAAATCGATTCACTTGCGATAGAAAAATATAGTACTTCCGTTTTTGTGAGCGCGTGTATGTTTAGAACTTCCGTTTCGCATACGTGGACTATTTTCCTGGTTTACACCTCGTTGGCGTGTAACGACTCAGAGCCATGTCTTTTAAGACGGTTTATTATGAACGATTTACTTGGTTCAGCGATCCGCGAAACTCTTATACACACTCTCTGTTTCTCTCTTGCTCTTTCTCCCGTTGGCTTCTATATAGCTACTTCCTATTATATCTAAATAGACATCGGGTGGGACTCAGTAACTTTCAACGCTCCGCGCACACCGTTATAATATACGTCATATGTGTGCGCTTAATAAGGCGCCAATCGAGAAATCACCGCACATAATGAAATAATCCCCGTCACTTGTCTCAAAATTCATTCTTATTTACAATTTCTCACGTTCAATCTAATTTCATGATATATGTAATTCAAGAAATTATACTTCCCGTACAATTTTTCGTATGTGATTAATCATCATTTGGAGAGAAAACTAGAAAAAAAAACCCTCGTAATAATTCTTACAGAAGTAGAGTACAGAAAACAATGACCTTTTTTAATACACAGACAAACCAGAAGGTTTTAAAGATCGTTTTCGAAACTATTTAGAAGGCTCGAAACAATAGTTGACATAAAAAGGGTGCTCTTTTATTGAACTCGACTCTTGGCTCTCAACCAAGTGAAAAGAAAGCGTGACTAAAGTTTAAACACATGGACATTGAACATTAGATACACCGCATTCTAATTATTATTATTGTTGTTGTTCTTCTTTTAGAAGACATTTCGTAAATGTAAATATTCTAAATTAATTTCTCCCAAATATATATTTCAATCCTTCTTGATCCAAAAAAAATAAGACACTAACGATGTTGATTGTTTCGCAGATAATCCCAGCTTGTCTGCTGGTGACCTCGGGAGCCCGAAGAGTACAAATTCGACCACGAGTCTCAGAACCACAGGTTTATTACGAGGAAGAGGACAATCAACAAGCAGAAGATGAATACGAGGCTCCAATTTACCAACCACGAGCACGAGCCCTACCATCACCACGCTCCAAGGACACACTCCAAGGATCGAAAGCACCACCCGTTCAAACAATTCGCAACTACAACAAAGTTAATGACGACGGCTCTTTCACTTTTGGCTACGAGGCCGCAGACGGTTCCTTCAAGGAAGAAACACGAGGCACCGATTGTGTTGTCCGTGGCAAATATGGTTACGTTGATCCCGATGGCAATAAGCGAGAATTCACCTACGTCTCAGGAAATCCGTGCGATCCAAATGCGCCCAAAGACGAGGATGATCTCGCCGATAAGGAGGAAGAAGTCGTTGGACCTCCCAATTATCCATCCTCAAGGCCAATTCAACGACCCGTGAGGCCCAATTATCCAGCAACCACTCCCCGAGCACCCACCACCATTTTCCAAACCGAATATCAATTAGACGATGACGCAAGCCAAGAACTCGAGGAAGTCTCCCGTCCAGCAATAAGCAGACCATCCGCCTTCAGACGACCCGTCGTCAGAGTCACCGAACCCACAACCTCCGGCTTATACCAACCCATTCCCACATCCGAACCCGTTTACCGACTCGCCAGCAGCAGTACCCTCGCCGGTCCCCGCTACCAAATTGCCCAAACCACTCCAACCCCCCAACGTTCTGCCTCACCTTCCGCCTCAACAATTTACCAACCCATCGAAGCCAGTACTCGCGCCACGACAATTGCCCGCCAAAGGCCACAATCCGTCGCCATTACACCACGACCACACGTAGCCCAAGTTGCCGCCCAATATGTCGGTCCCAGTAGCACCGAGAGACCAGGCGTTGTTTTCGCCCCCAGGACCTATCATCCCACATCGGCCACCACGAGTCTACCACCCCGTGCTGTCTCCTCCACGCCACCTCCTCAGAATCTTGATTTTGCTGCCGAACTCGAGAGATACGTCAACTCCGTCGCCCTGAGCTCCCCAACAGCGAGACCTGTCCCCAAGGCCAAGGCTTCACCATCTGCCGAGCCCATCTATCAGTCCGAATTAGTTTACGATCCCGCAACCGGTCAGTACAATACACAACTTTATCAGTCCTTACCACAAACCATGGGCGATATCAGCCTCAGTCACAAGCTCCAACCATTCGTAGCCCAGCCTCAACAACTCGCGCCGATCCAGAGGCAGAATCCCATCTACCGTCAACCTTCATCATCATCATCGCAGATAGCTAGACAACCACAGGAGGCCATCTACAGAAAGCAACAGGCCGAGATCTTTCAACAGTCCCAACAGCTCTACGCTCAACAACAGAGACGTCAACAACAGCCGCAGAGGTTTCAACTTCTAGATCCACAGAGGGACGCACAATCATTCTACTATGTTCAATCACCACCACAGGGACAACATCCTGGTGGACAATTATCTGCTGGTCAAATTGATCAGTTCCTTCGTGGTAATGCTGAGGGATTTTGAGTCGATTAAACAAAAAAATTTATAAATGCGATTAATCCTCTTTTTTCTATTGAAGATTTTTCTCCATTAGCGACACCCGGTTTATCACCAGAATGGACACCTTTTTAGCGTATCACATGCGTTTACTTTTCTACACGAAAAGAAAGTTTTCGAAACACTCATTGATCTTTTACGAATAAAACATCTTTCCGTGTAGAAATGTAAAAATTCATCTAGAATACGAGGCCAAAATTCGACATTGGCTCAGTGTATAGCGATAACTTCACATTCTAGATGGATTTTAATAGAATTAAAAACAAACGCATTCGCGATTGAGGTGCTCCCATTTGGAAACAGTGAATCCAAAGAGAGCGTCGGGCATGTGTTTACTCTCTGCATTATTATTGTTTCTAATATAAGACTCCGAAATACTTTGATTCACATTGGAAAAAATTTAGCCTTATCTAGTAACGTCAATTCTGCTCTCTTTTATGATAAGGCAGAACTTTTGACAATGGAATAGCAACACTAATTTTTTTGGTCGATATTTGAAAAATTAGAAAATGACAACAAAGCTTACATTTCGTTAGGTTACTGCAGAAACAAAAGGTTATGAGGATAAAATCTTGATCAAGCGATAAAACATAGTTTATCGAAAACGAAACAAAGCATATTCAAATCAAAGTCGTAAATACTTGGAAAATCTTTTTGTGAACTTTCGGCTTATTGGAACGTTACTTCACCAAATAATTTTTCCGTGCAATCAAAATCGAACCATGGGTATGAAATTATAGGAAAAATGTCATCTCTTTCATTGCTTGGAAGCTATGCAAATTTTTGTATACCAAACTTGCTCCGACAAAAACATGATAATGCAAATTCTTTTACAGATTACTCTAAACACTGATATTAATAACAGCATTGAAAGATTTTGAAACAGTAGATGACTTTTCTACCAATAGAAATTCAGTGCATCTAACTGAAAGTGCAACTACTTATTGGTTATTGAGTCTCTGATTAGACTCAACTATAGCATCTGCAAAAGCAATTGCTGTATCAAAATTCTTTCACTGTTCAAATCTCTGGATTAACCAAATCTTAAACAGTACTTCAGATACACTTTCCCTTTAATTAGGATCAGGTAACTTATTTCTGTAGAGAAAAAAGCATACAAAAAACTTACTTTCTAAAATTTGAGGTAATTATGCAGTTAAGGGTCTCCTGCCATATCTAGAAATATACAGCTTTTCAGATGGGCTTTATTGGTAATTTTATTCAATTTTACATGTAACTAGAAGTTAACTTTAAGTTAACCAGTTAACCTTAACTGCATAATTATCAAATTTGAATCTAAAAAATAATATCCGAACGGTACTGTACAGCCTTTTCTATATCTAGCTTTGAGTGTCCATAACCCACATATGATTCTATAAAACATATACAATTGACTGTTTCTAATAATTCATTAATCTTCCAATACTTTAGTGTTAGAACAAATAAAATAGAGAGCAAACACATGCACAAAGTTAAATAATTTATCAGAATGCGAACAAATTGTATTTTCTTCAAAACATATTCCCCCATATGAATAATTCTGTATTCTAATTAAAGAAATATAATTTTTCCTCATTCTGATATTTCTAGACCCTGGGATTACTGTCAGTTTCTAGCTTTTTAAATTTTTTTCCAGCTCAAGTCTCTTTAACAGTTTTTCTTTCTTTCTTTTTTTTTTTTTTGTTGACGAAACCACCGGGAACTTTTTTTTCTGACGACTCATGACCTTAGAGAGTTCAGGGATTAAGCCCTTACTTGTACAGAGGTTATTGTAATATGAGACAGCTTAATTTTTGACAATTTTTCTCGATATACATTATAATTATAAAATGTAAGTATATTTGTCATGTAATTTTTTTTCAATATTAAATTAAGAATCTGTTTACCGGATATTCGCAAGTGCCATTGAATTCATATTTTATCATTTTTTTCTCCTTTTTTTATAAATTCATTTCTACTTGCTGAATACTTTAATGAAACTAATATTATATAAAAAAAATAGTTAAAGAATTATAACTAAAAATTGCTATAAGGACAAATCTGGAAGAATTTGTGAAATTTTTAATAATTTTAATTGACAAATTTCAGTAAAAATGTAAAATGTTTTTAAAAAATATTTTAAAAATATAAAAGAAAAAATTAATATTTACATGAGCAATGAATTGTGAATAGTTTCTTTATGAATATTTGGGTCATTTATAAAATGTCATAAATTCTTGTATATGTATGTAAGATTATGTAAACTGACCAGATATTATCCGGGTTGGTTCACAGTGTTTCAGGAGAAAACTTGTGTGACGAAATGTCCACCAATCAAATTTTAAAACAAATTTCGTATTAAAACTTGACATTTTTTTTGTTTATTTTTATTTATTAAATTGATAATAATTAATAATAGTAATAAACAAAATGTTTCTTACAACCAATTACATTTTAAACAAACCAAAATTTTCTGATTTTTATATTCAGATTTCTACTTTTTAATCACCTCCATGAAGTTGGCGTCGACGCTCAGCGCCGAAAATTCTTTTTCACAGGATAAAAAGTGTCTAATTATTTTTTTTTAATTTTCAATCCAAATAATACCTTGAAAAATATTTTTCAAGGTATTATGTGGACCCAAAACCTTTTTAAAAAATGATTTTTTTTTTTTTGGTTCCGTGAAAAACAAATTTCGACGTTGAGCGTTGACGCCAACTTCATGGAGATTGTTTAATCATATTTCAAAAACGAAAAAAAATAATTAAAATTCTATTCATTTTTAATTGATTAATCAATAAAGAAAAAAAGTTTTAAGAAAGAAAGTAGAAGTGCAGAAAAAGAAAGAAATTAAAAATGTCCAACTCTGTGAAAAAATGTTGATATCTTTTTAGATAGATTTTATTATACACCGAAGTATAAACATTGCACCATCTCACTAATGAATTTCAGATCATCAAAGAACATTAATTACTTTAAGTATTTATTTACTTCGTGCAAGACTATTAATGACTATTCAATTTCCCGATGTAATCTATTGCTTTGCAGATTACTTGGTGAGAGCACAACGTCAGACAAAATCTCATCTTCCAGATCACGTCCCATAGTAAAGACAGAGAAAAAAAAACTGTCTACTGAGTCTCATGACTAGAGAAAGTAGCAAAACAAATTGTATGGACAAAACAACAGGTCACTTTTTTGATTAAAATCTTTTATCATTCTTTCATGCACTTATATTTTTTCTTTTCTTTTATTTAAATATTTTAATCTTTCTTTCTCGATAAATCTTTTATTTTTATATTTTTTATTTTATTGGTTCATTTTGGAAATTGGAAATAAATTTTCTTTTTATTTAATAAAAACTATAGTTTCTGAAGAGAACAAGTGTTCAGTAAGCTTATTTATTTTCTTTATATAAATTAAATTATATTGAAATTAAATTTATCAAATACATTCTTAAATGAGAATAGAATAACATTTTTTTTATATTTTTATCCTATAGTTGAAAAATAGAAATAAACTTTATGTAATATTAATTTGCGGTGAAAATTAATATTGATTTTAAAAAAATATTTGTTGTAAAAAAAAAATTTTTTGATTACCTTGATAAAAAGTTTGCAATGATATTCAATCAGTTTTTTACTGTAAGTACATATTATTTCAAGGCATTTCGAAATTTGTGTCCGACACAATTAGTTTTTATTCAAAGATAAATTTTTATATAACTTAACAAAAAATTTATTCTTTTAAATTAATAAATTTTATTCTAATGCTGAATTCTAAACATTTCATTTCAGATCAATCCAAAACTAAAATTTCATCTTTTTAAATTCTAAAATTACACTTCTTATCAATTCAAATAAATACTGACTAAAATTTCTAATTAAAATTCAGTCTCAAAATCAAACTATATACATTTGATTTGGAAAAAAAAATTTTCTTAAGTAAAATTCAAAATTTTCAAATACTTTGGATTCAGATAAAAAATTATTGAAATTTTCATCAAGATAAACATATGATATGTAATTTTTTTTTTTTAAAAAAAGAAGAAAAAAATTGATTTTCACACTTTTTTTTGTAAATTCTTTGGCTCTTGCGATTTCCGGGGGAAAGACATATAGACGCACACGAGACACGCAAAAAAACACTATTATTGACAGAGAGTTAGTAGTATGTATTGGCGATTCAAACAGCTACACTAGCGCCACAGTTGAACTAATTTAGGCGTGACTCGCTCTGTAGCACTCCATGTGTTTTAAATTATTTTTTTTTATTTAACGCTTAAAAATAATTTTACAAACGCAATAAAAATATCAGAATAATTAAATAATTTGAAATAAACTATCAAAACAGAGACTGCTTTAGAGCGAGTCACGCCTAAATTAGTTCAACTGTGGCGCTAGTGTAGCTGTTTGAATCGCCAATATAAATAAATATATTTAATAAAAATTTACAACTACAACGATTGTCTCCGATTTTGCGCATATATTTTTTTTTAAAGGTCACTGTTATTGATCCAGAAACACACAATGACGGAAATGTATCGATTGGATCTTGATCAAAGTGTGTTACATAAATCCAAGGCAAATTTACGCGCAATGCGTCTAAGCAGCGATTTATAGCGAGTAAAAGTATTTCGCGGAGAATGTATACGGTTTAATCAATGTGCGCTCGATCTATAAAAAAAAAAGATAAAAAAAATAAAAGAATTTAAAAAAAGCAAGAAAAAAAATATATCGCAAACGGAAAAAATATGATTTTTTTTTTAAATATACGATTGCTTTTGCGAAAGTTCTTTGATATACAATAAAACATTTTGTTGTTGTTCTTTTATATATATATATATATATATATATATGTACTATATTTTAATGCGGAGAAATTACAAAGTGTAGAATTGAAAGTTGTTAGAAGCATATTGAACTTATCAAGTTATTTTTTTCAATAATGATTTGCACATTTCAAAGAACGCATTAATTTGCTAACTTTCTTTGAAGGATAATTGATATTAATTTCATGTTTTTTTTTATTTTTGCGATTAATAAACTTGAACAATTTTTTTAAAAACAGCAGTGTTTAGAAAAAAAAAGTCAACAAATTTTTAAATTGACAAAAATTTGTTGAATTTTTTATGATTTTTCTTATTAAAATTTAACATTCTAACTAAATAAATTATAAAAATTTCAAAACAAGCAGTCATTGAATGATTCTTTAATTTTAGTTATAAAGTCAGTTTATAATAATAATTAATTTTTATTATAAAAGTAAATAATTAATTATTATCGCAATTCAATTAATATACTCTCTACATTTAAATTTTAGTGTGAATTCGTTCTAATTCACAAATTTAAATTAGTAGAAATTATATTACTTTTTATCGAAATATTATTATTTGATTTAGTAATACTATATACTATACTTTATTTAGTAATATTTTTTTAAATACAGTTTTAGTCAAAATTAACTCAAAAATTAATAGAAATTTTCATTAATTTTTTTTGGTAAAATATTATTCGAATTAGTAAATTTTATTTTTCGGAAAGTTTTAGTAAAAAATAATTAAATATAAGTTGAAATTTTCAGTAACTTAAATTAGTGAACGAATTTTCACTAATTCAAATTTATAGAGTATGTCTGAATAAAAGTATAACTATCCAATTAAAAACAAAGATTTTTATAAAAAACAAAAAAAACAAAAGTTTCTAGAATTCAAATAAATTTCACTCAATTTACAAAGTTTATGTATTTCCGCAAAGTTTTGTTTTGCTCTTTAAAAGTCGCGTGTCGTCGAAAGGAGTTTTAAGAGTCGAGAATCAATGGCTGCTCGCGTGTGAAACTTTTCAATCCTTTAATAGTATATTATATATATATATATATATATATATATATATATATATATATATATATATATATATATATGTATATATAAGAGGTATATACTTTGACGCAGTAGGCGAATTCCTTGATCGGAGCATTTTTATCGAAATGATTTTTCCTCCGCCGAGTCATAAAAAACGCCCGTTAACAATATTGGAATTTTATTATGTTCTTTAATCGCGAAGGATCCCTGAGATATTATTATTATTATTAATATTTAACCGGGAAGGGCGTAAAGACTCATGTACATAGTTACCTTAACTAGTGTCGATTCTTAGATATTTGTAATTTTAACTCTTGTCGCTATATATAGCAATACAAATCGTGTATAAGACACTCTACGCAATAATTACCTTGTGGGTATTTAGAGATACTTTCGTTATAATTATAATATAATTATCTTTTTGTACTGTTTGTAAGTTTACGACTCGAAAATAAAAACGTTATGACGAATCTAATATATAAATGCATTCATATATTTTAATTTTAGCTTAAATACAACATTATTATTTTGATTCCTGGGAGCTGAAAATATATTTGTGCAGCACTAATTATATGAAGTAACTTTTCGTATTTAAGGTACGTATATATAAACATATTGTGTTACATTATTCTTAATTTCATTTATGAGAGTGTCCATAAGTTTTGCGTTTTGTAATTCTATTGAAAAAATCTCTAATTTAATAACTAAAAGTAAATAATTTTAATAAGAGTTAATTAAATATTTAGAACAGTTAAAATGAATTAAAATTTATTAGGTTTAAATAAATGTAATTTAAATAATTGAAGTTATTTAAAAATATATATCTTGCAGTATTGCAAGCTTACGTACTATCTGGTTATATGGTGTTTAGTACTACTGACAGTGAACACCAGGAGCGCCACCTTCGCATCACGTGAATTTCGAACAGGGTTAAACTCAAAAAACTATATGTGTCATTTTCGCATAACAATTGATAGTGAAAATGACTATTAAGATTTTCAGAGTTGATCCCTATACGAAATTCACGATTTAATTATGAAAAATGTAATAAAAATTCTACTATTACAGATTTAGAGTAAAATCGCATTATAAGTACATAGGAAGAAAATATTCTAAATTTTGTTGCACCATATTCTTTTCTTTTTAGGATAACCATTTCAACAAATTAGCATTTCTGGTAAATATCATGTTAAACTATTTTTTATATTCAATATTTTTTTTTATTTTAAAAATGTACATTTCTTCTTATATATCCAACGGTCTAATTGTTGTTAAAAAAAATTCAAATTATTTTATATGACTTTTATATTTTTTTCATATACCTAAATGAATTATTTGTAAGAAAAAATTAATACAGTTTTCAAAAGAATTTTTTATATAATTATAATAATGAACGCGTGGATAATTTTGTATTCCCAGGTTTTTTTTTCTGATAACACCTAAAACGTAAGAAGTAATATGCAAAACGTGAGAAAATTTAATTTCTTTTATTTTATATTCTTTAAAAAAAAGTTACGATGTTAAAATAAAAATATATAGCTAAATGCGCTGCACATAAGATAAGGATGGCACGTGAAAAAACTATTTTTTCTTTCTAAAAGTTATAAAAAATACACATCTACCTTTTTTGCGACTTAAATAATTTAATGCTATTTATTTTTTTTGTATTATTTTATTTTAAATTTCAAAAATGAACTATAAAAAAATTAGTATCTGTAAGGGGACCCATGCCATATTCCATATTTTAAAAATAAAAAAATAAAAATATTTAAAAAATTTTTTTAAATTCCGAAAATATTGAAAAATTTGTTTTTCCACGACCGGACCAGGCTTAAAAATTTTTGTAAAAGAAAATACTTTTGTTGAAAATTTAAAAAAAAATACACGGAAAAAATTTATTCAGAAAACATTCCTGAATTAGTTCAAGAACGGTGGATATGAGAAAAAGTCGACAATAATTCTTTTACTTTAAGTAAAATAGTTGAAAACATTCTAGAATTATTCCTCAACTTATAAAGGGAGATTGAAATTAGATACATTATAATAGAAATATCATATATTAATGGTAAGATCAAGACAGAGTTTCAAAAAATTAAGAATGGTTCTGAATTTTTCAAGAAAATTACATTATTTTGAAAATGATTTCCAGTATTACTAAACAGGAACAATCACTGCTTCTTGTGCCTAAAAAATTCCCGAACTCTAAAGGAAGATTGGAGTGCGCATCAGTCACTTTGCGCATATATATATTCAACAAGTTATATCTATAGTGTGTTTCAGTTACAGCATACCAAGTTTACAAAATTATGATTCCGGAAAATGATTTTTGTATCTTGACAAAAAAACTGGTTGATTGCTTTTTTATTGAACACCTACAGACATATAAAATTTTTGACGAAACTGTCTATTTTCACTGCGTTTTGACTTCGAAAGACTTATCTTCGAATGCAATAATTAATTGTAAAAATAAGTTAGCTGATAGCTATAGCTACTCTCTAAATGTGAATTAGTCAAAATTTTACTAATTGAATTAGTATTTTACTAATGAATTAGTTGTTTCATCACTTTCTACTAAAAAAATAGTCACTTTTGATTACTGAATTAATTAGTAGTGCTTTTTCTACTAAAAAAATATTCACTTTTAATGACTAAATGAATTGTAGAGATTTTCTTCTAATTTGTTAATCATGATATGTGCATACATCAAAATAAGCAAAAATATCTTAATTGAAAATTTTTTAATTTATTATACAACATTTTTCTGTTCCAACCAAAGAAAAATCAATTTAATAAATGCACAAGTAATTATTTTCTATTAAGTAATTATAAAAAAAATATTTATTTTTCTTTATGTCCAGACATAACAGTTAGGTTTTGTAGGTTATGTTTACCAAAATTGACATATAATTAATTTAGTAATATAATATTAATAATGATGATATTGATATTTTGATTAAATTGAATGTGTTCAAACTCAGTTCTTCAAATGTTTGTATAGATGGCCAAAAAAGACTCCAAACTATTGTTGTTATGTTAATGTTAATTAATTTAATTAACAAATTTAAATCAATATTGGCACATTTATAAGACTCTAATTACAAAGGCCGTAGCCGGATAAGCAGGGTCCTGCGGCCCCCGCTCAAATTTCGTGGATATTTACAGGATCAATTAGTCTCAGTATGAAACTTTTTTTCGCCAAGTTTCAACTTCTAAAAATAATTTTGAAAAAAGTTATGGCATTTTTTAAAAAAAATTAAAAATTGGATTTTCTCTTAAGCGTTTATAGTTTTTTAATGGGGTAAAAAATATGTTATAGGGGAAGCAAAAATGCATCTAACAAAAATTTGGCGACCATTTTTGTGTAGTGGAAGGGGTAAAAAAAAAATTTTTTTAACTTTTTATATTTTTTAAAAATATTAATTGACTTGGCACAATCACCATATTTTTTTCCTACATTCTTTAACATCCAAGAAGCAACATATTTTTTTGGCAGCTCGATCTGAGGGGTACTTGCCCGTTAAAATTTAAAAAAACTTATTTTTGGCCCCTAAAATGTTAATATAGTTTTATATAAATATAATATTAATGAAAAAAGTGTCGTGCACTAAAAATACACTTGACTTTTAATAATTGCCTGTTATTTTACTTAATGTTTCACAGTAAAAAGTAAATCTTATATTAAGGTTAATCTTAAATTAAATGATTCTTGGAAATCAACATAGTCTTAATTTAAAGTGAGCCTTGTATGAATTTAAGGTACTCATAAATCTGAATTTACAGAGTGTTTGAAATTCAACTCCCTTTGAGCTTTAATTTATAAAAGCTAAGTCTTAAATTCAGCTTGGGGCTGCTGCTTTTACCAAAAAATTGCCTTCAATATAGCACATAAAAAGTTCTGAAAATCAGCTTACATACTCCCTTTTTAAAATCAACAATGCCTGTCTTAAAAATGTTGCGTCTTAAAATAAGACTTAATTCCGCCCTTAAAATAAGATTCTCTTTTTACTGTGTTCAGTTTCACTCATAAAGCTGCCAAAAGAAGGCACACATTTGCATGTAAAAAAGAAGGGAAGAAAAAATAGGGCGATTGTGCCAAGTCAATTAATATTTTTAAAAAATATAAACATTAAAAAAATATTTTTTTTACCTCTTCCACTGCATAAAAATGGTCGCCAAATTTTTGTTAGATGCATTTTTGCTTCCTTTTTAACATTTTCTTTGCCCGGTGATGTTGGCCTCCCATTTTCAAGAGATACCATACATTTTAGGGGCCAAAAATAAGTTTTTTTAAATTTTAACGGGCAAGTACCCCTCAGATCGAGCTGCCAAAAAAATATGTTGCTTCTTGGATGTTAAAGAATGTAGGAAAAAAATATGGTGATTGTGCCAAGTCAATTAATATTTTTAAAAAATATAAAAAGTAAAAAAAAAATTTTTTTTACCCCTTCCACTACACAAAAATGGTCGCCAAATTTTTGTTAGATGCATTTTTGCTTCCCCTGTAACATATTTTTTACCCGATTAAAAAACTATAAACGCTTAAGAGAAAATCCAAGTTTTAATTTTTTTTAAAAATGCCATAACTTTTTTCAAAATTATTTTTAGAAGTTGAAACTTGGCGAAAAAAAGTTTCATACTGAGACTAATTGATCCTGTAAATATCGACGAAATTTGAGAACTTACACAGTAAAAACAAAGTCTTAAACCGTTTACACCTTAAATTAAGCCCATATATTTTGCATAAGTCTGTCCTTTTTTAATTGGTCTGACTCCGTTTACACCTTAAATTCAGCCTCAAAAATAGGCTGAAATTAAGATTTCTTTTTTAGTGTGTATCCGGCTACGGCCTTTATATAATAATTAAATTTGTATAGAAAACAAATCGACTTTACCTTATTTATTAGCGATTTGACAATGAGTTTATATCAATTTGCTTATAAGAGACATTTTGTAACGAATTTTCATAACCTCCTTTGGTTGAGCGCGTCAAGACGCAGCTCCTAAGGTAGAAGGCAAGGTAATAGGTTCAAATCCTAAGTGACATCTCCCACCAGTAATTATCGCAGAATAATTTCGAAAATGAAATAAATAGATTTTTTTATTGATTCACGTTATTTAAACTATATAAAAACAAAATATAATCGTTTCCTATTTTTTAAGCAATAATTTTTGTCTATTTTCAAAATAAATACGTCTACATTACCTACTTTATCTACCTATGTATACCTATCTAGAAACTGAAACTTCTAATTCATTTAGTGGTAGATTAGTTACAGATTGAATTAGTAACTTTTGACTAATTCACAGTAAACGAATCCGCCCTATTTGAATTAGTCAAAAATGACTAATTCAGATTTAGAGAGTACATTTCAAAAATATGGCTGTAAAATTTTGATTTATGTCAATTCAATTTGAACGCAAAATATATATAATAAAAACTTTTTTTTCACAAAATATGTCTTTTTCAAATCCATTACAATCTCATCTTTAAACTTAGTTTAAAAAATCATAAGTTTATGTTTAGTTTTTTTAAATATTAGATTTACAAAAATTAGTAAGAATTATACATTAAATTTCAAACTTGAAATGTTTCTAATTACTAAGATTTTAGAAAAGTTCTCTGCAAAAAAAAAAAATATATATATACATATTATTATTTTAATTATAATGAAATTGGAAATAATCAATTAAGACCTTCCAAATTTTCTAATTTATTTAAAAAATAAGAATTTCCTATATAGTTCAGTTTTTTAAAAATTTCTCTAAAATACATTTAAGGGTATGTGGGAACCTCCCACGTGACCTAGTATGGGAAAATGTGTTTTGGTAGTATACATTTCACTCTAAAATGAGAAAAGATTTTTGTCTAAAATTTTGAGGGATTATTCGCTACGGACATGGCCTTGAACATATGCCGGATATGACTATCAGCGCTCCATGTGGCGAAATTAGGCAATTTTTGTTGGACAACGATAATGACAGATCAATAGTAATCAATGTAAATAATATGAATGTTATAATAAAAACGGGGTTTGCTGCAATAAACCATGAAATTGAATTTCGCCCAGAAACAATTAAAAAAGGGAAGGCTTTAGCGATGATTCACGTTGTCAGGGTGGAAGAATTTAGAGTTAATGGAATCAAACGTCTGTCAATTCTCCTCCTTATTCAGTTAATTTAATGGTAGTTTTTTATTTTAACCCTTTAATGGCCGAGTTTTTTGTCGTTACTTTAGACTTATAATGTATATTAGATTTAATTACTAAAGTATTCAGTATGAGAAAAAATTTTTTTTTAACATGTCTCACCCCTCAAAACCACCCCCACGGTACATTACTACCCCAAAAAACTGATATTTAACCAAATTGATGAATTAAATATTTTTCAGCTCTTATCTACTTTTTATTTATTTATAAACATTGCCTGGTTGCTTAAAAATTGAAAAGGATCAATAACCCCTTGAAAACACCCTTAAAGTCAAATAATCATCCCTTGACGGTGAAAGTTTTTGTAAATGATTAAAAAAAATCTATAGATTCTAATTGCTTCTAAATTATAAACAATTATTTGAAAGTTACACAGACATAGATAATAATAATAATAATAAACTCACCCCCTACCCTTGAAGCCCACCCCTAATTCATAACTATTCTCAGTTTGGAACAATCAAAAAAATAATTTTCACTGATTTTCGAAAATATGAAAAAAAAAATTTTCTATGATAACTAAGTATTAATACTGAATATAAACAACCCCTGAAAAACAACCCTTAAGTCAAATAACCACCCCTTAATGATAAATGTTTTTGTGAATAAATGAAAAAAATTATATGGATTCTAAGTGCTTCTGAATTGTAAAAAAGTATTTCAATGTTTCACAGATATGGATAATAATAATAAACTCACCCCCTACCCTTGAAATCCACCCCTAATTCATAAGTTATAAGATACTGAATTCAGTTTTCAACAATCAAAAAAATAATTTTCACTGATTATTATCATATTGAGTAATGCATTGAGTACATACTCAATGCACTCCCCTCCACGATGGCGTAGAGGGGAGTGCATTGGGTAAATAAAGGGGGGGGTACGACAGTAGCAAAGAAGCTCCCATGTGGAACTGCTGTTATAAGGCAATCAGCGCGTCGTTTCGTTTTCTCTGTGTAGCGTTCTCCCACTACTTCACCGATTGAGCCTGGGTCTGTAATTTTCATTTTCATACTAAACTCCTAACAACAGGCACTAAAAGCTACAAAATTAATAGGCAATAATGACACCAGCATTATTTTGCAATTTTAAAAACTGACATCATATTCGTAATTATCGACCCCGAAAACCCCTGAGTAATAAGTTTCAGATGAATCTAATCAAAGTTAATCATTTCGTCCGCCATATTGGATCCGCCATTTTCAATTTTCTAAATCTGATATCGGATTCGTAATCAGCGACCCCGAAAACCCCCAAGTGACAAGTTTTACATGAATCTAGTGAATTTTTATATTTATCGGTCGCCATATTGGATCCGCCATTTTGAATTCTTAAAGACGGACATCGGATTCGTAATCAGCGACCCCGAAAACCCCCGAGTGATAAGTTTCACGCGAATGTAGTAAATTTTTATAATTATCGGTCGCCATTTTGGTTCCGCCATTTTGAATTTTTGAAAACGGACATCGGATTCGTAATCAGCGACCCCGAAAACCCCCGAGTGATAAGTTTCACGCGAATCTAGTAAATTTTTATAATTATCGGTCGCCATTTTGGATCCGCCATTTTGAATTTTTGAAAACGGACATCGGATTCGTAATCAGCGACCCCGAAAACCCCCAAGTAACAATTTTCAAGCGAATTTATTAATTTTTAAAGGTTTTGGTTTTTAGGGGTAGTTTTAGTTATTTTTCTGCACCATCGGGTTGAATTTTTAATATTAATTTTTTTTACAAAGGTTGCAATATTTTTAAACATATGTTACTATGAAAGCCTGAAAAAAAAATTTCTTCTGAAATTTATACCTGTTTTTTCATTTTTCTCATTTTTCGGGTTTTTTGAAGGGGTGTATTTCAAAGAGGGTAGTTCTTTAAAAAAATACATGTATTTACATTTGTTACTCTATCCCTCCCCTTCAAAATGAGATCTTAGTGGAGTTAATCGATTAAGTTTTAAGAAAGTTATGATTTTTTGAAGTAGGTGGGACGTATGTGTCCCACTGGCCATGAAAGGGTTAAAAGATATATATATATATATATATATATTGATTTTTAAAATTCCACTTACACATATGAACCAAAATAATTTATTTAAACAAAGAATTAAAGAGAATGTAGGATATAACATAACCTCAAAATTAAAAAATAATTTTTAATGCAAACAAAAACTAAATATAACCTATTTTTAAAGATTTAGTTATAAAAATTTCGAATAAAATTATGTTAAGTAAATAATTATTTTTTAACATTTGCCATTTTTTCAGAATAAACAAAAATCGAATTTTTTATCTATTTTTTATAAAGGATTAGTTTAAATTTAGAGAAACTTTCTTTACAATCGAAATACTTTTTTTAATTGTTAAAAAATTGTAAACAATTCAAATTTTATTTCATAATTAATTTTTTTACAACATATTTTTAACACTTTAAAAAAATTACGATTGAAGAGAATTGTTTCACTAAATAACAAAAACTTTTGGTTCTGCAATTTTTTCAGTTCAGAAAAAAGTTCAAATTTGTAAAGAAATAATTATCTAATAAAAGATTTTAATTGAAAATAATTTTTACTAAAAAGTGCATATAACTAGATCTTTCAAAATTACTATAAATTAATTTTAAATAATTTTTTTCGTTATGATAATAGCCATTTTCACCACCCTCCATAAAAAAATGCAACTTAAAATATTTTTTCCAGCTTGACTCAAATCGAAAAGTTACTTATGTTTCATGTACAACTTAATAGTTTATAAATTTGGTCGCCGTAGTATATCACAAATAGATTTAATCGTCAAAAACAATTAAATATCACTTTTTTCTATTGTAAACATTTGACAAGTATCCAACGAAAAATGCGCCACATTGCCACTAGAGGCGCCACCGTGTTTCCGTGTCCGCAGCGAATAGATTAGGGTTTAAAGAATCTTGCTGTTCTCCGAAAAATACATAATTTTGCGTTAAATTATTAAAAAATTAAGTTTAAAATGTGACATTTTTAAACGAAAATGAAAAGAAACATGGCGGCGCATACACAGACGGTGTCTTGAGTGTGTCGGTGCTCCAGTAAACAGCGCCAATTCGAGCGAGTGGCCGCTGAATCAACTATGATGTAATACATTAATTTAGTATTTGTGACGCTCCACGGTGAAAGGGTGCTTAGCTGCTTTAAAGTTTAGGTTATGTTCATGGTAGTTTTTGTTTTATTAAAGATTTATTTTTGATTATTTAACATCAAAAGCATTTTTTACTGAAAATAATGCATCTAATAAATAATTAAATAATAATAGTTTGTACCGTAAACTAGTTGCTTTTATTTATTTTCACTGCAAAGTTTAGTTTCTGTCAAAAACAGCTAAGCACCCTTTCACCGTGGAGCGTCACATTTATTGCTTTATTTTTATTATTTTTGCGTTAACTTATAGTAAATGAGAAGAATAGCGAGATTTCTTGTACCAAACTAATTTATATTATTCATATATTTTATTTTTTACTCTTTTATATTATAATAATTGGGGTAAGTCCGGGGGAGTTGGACACCCAAGTAGCACGATATATCAACCAGATGTCACGGTGATATCACCATGATATCATTGTGATATAACTGTGATATCACTGTGATATCACCTTGATGTCACCATGATATCACCTCGATGTCACCGTGTGATATCACCGTAAGGCGGACATTTTGACATTTTCCTGATGTCACGGTGACATTTCTCGGTGATATCACCGTGACATCTGGTTTATATATCGTGCTACTTGGGCATAGTTTTTTTAAATGCCTGTAAAAATAAGAAGAAAGTGATTTATGTATTAACTTTTATTGCTAATTAAACATTGAACATTTAACTTACAAATAATAATAGAAATGAAAATTTTTTTAAATGTAAACAATCTTAAAATTAATATTTTTTAAAAAACACGTTTGGCCATCTCTCCCGGAATGTACGGGGGAGATGGCCATACGCGTACGGGAGATATGGCCATCAATACTTTAAAATCATTCTTTGACTTTCCGCTTTATCAGAATTCTTAAGGGCAAGTCCAACATGTGAAATGTAAACAAACCATGCACATTTTTTCGCAGTTCTCATTTGCGTAGAAAATAAAAATTTGTCGTTTTCTTTATGAAAATGGTAAATTAATGTATTAAAGTTGGTTACTATACTTTATTTAACTAATTATATGAAAAAATAAGTACAATTATAATGAAATGAAAAGTGCACTGAATTAGCAATTTTTTCAAGGTTTCGAAAAAAAAACCATTTGAGTATATCAAAGGCACGGACGTTGAGCGCCTAGATGGGAGAAGAATGTTGAGCCATTGGACGGTCACATCTTGGAAAGGGTAAAATTCTGAAATTTTACCCCTTCTCTCACTTTCTCCCACCTAGGTCCTCAACGTCCGTGCCTCAGATATACTCGAATGCCTACATTTTTCGTAACCTTGAGAAAATTGTTATTTCATTGTACTTTTCATTTCATTATAATTATACTTATTTGTTCACATAATTAGTTCAATAAAGTATAGTTACCTAGTCTAATATATAAATTTACCATTTCCACAAAGAAAACGACAAATTTTTGTTTTCTACCCAAATGAGAAGTGCGAAAAAAATGAGAAAATTGCTAATTCAGTGTACTTTTCATTTTATTATAATTATACTTATTTGTTCAGAAAAGTTGTTAAAAGAAGTATAGTAACCTAATACAATATATCAATTTACCATTTTCACAAAGAAAGTTACAAATTTTTATTTTCTATTCAAATGAGAACTGCGAAAAAATGGGTATGATTTGTTTAGATTTTGAACAGTTTTTTCGCAGTTCTCATTTGAATAGAAAATAAAAATTTGTAACTTTCTTTGTAAAAATGGTAAATTGATATATTGTATTAGGTTACTATACTTCTTTTAACAACTTTTCTGAACAAATAAGTATAATTATAATAAAATGAAAAGTACACTGAATTAGGAATTTTCTCATTTTTTTCGCACTTCTCATTTGGGTAGAAAATAAAAATTTGTCGTTTTCTTTGTGGAAATGGTAAATTTATATATTAGACTAGGTAACTATACTTTATTGAACTAATTATGTGAACAAATAAGTATAATTATAATGAAATGAAAAGTACAATGAAATAACAATTTTCTCAAGGTTACGAAAAATGTAGGCATTCGAGTATATCTGAGGCACGGACGTTGAGGACCTAGGTGGGAGAAAGTGAGAGAAGGGGTAAAATTTCAGAATTTTACCCTTTCCAAGATGTGACCGTCCAATGGCTCAACATTCTTCTCCCACCTAGGCGCTCAACGTCCGTGCCTCAGATATACTCAAATGGTTTTTTTTTCGAAACCTTGAAAAAATTGCTAATTCAGTGCACTTTTCATTTTATTATAATTGTACTTATTTTTTCATATAATTAGTTAAATAAAGTATAGTAACCAACTTTAATACATTAATTTACCATTTTCATAAAGAAAACGACAAATTTTTATTTTCTACGCAAATGAGAACTGCGAAAAAATGTGCATGGTTTGTTTACATTTCATGTTTGTTTACATTTCACATGTTGGACATACCCTTAATTTAAAGTGATTAATACTTCTTTTCTTCTTCTGACCACATTTCGAACATTTATTATTAAATTCAGTGCAATTTTCATGAAGCCAAAGGTGACAATCATTGCACTGAATCCAGTCTTCGATAAGCGCTCTCTGTTTCTCTGTCTCACCAACACAACAAGTCTAAAAGGTTTTTTTTTTTGAGATATTAGAGTGGTTTCCAATTTATTTTAGTGTCCTGAACACGATCCCGGGTTACAAAATTGCGTATCACGTCAGGATTTTGAGTAAAGTGGGGGTAAAGTCTCCAAAACCCGTGTTTTTGAGGGTTTCAAGTATTTTTTTTCTCCTTAACATGACGTGATAGACTTCTATATACACAGAAAGAAATTTTCTGTAGAATTTACAGAAACTCCTGCGCCATCTACTGATGTTTCTCCAAATAAAGAAATTTATAGAATCATTGGCATTAAAATCTGTTAATTCTACAAGTTTGAGCTACAGTTCTTAAAAACTGTTGAGTGACCAAATTATGTATGGGGATAATATATATTTGGTAGAGTATTTCTTATAGATTATATTCTCCTCCGAATACATTAAATTCGTGGAACATTATTGTATAAATTAGTATAACTTCTATGTAAATAAATTCATCCTTCAATAACACAGCCCCACAAAAAAAAAAAAGTGTCGTGCGCGGCAGACCAGGCTAGTCATTTCCCATGTATTTTGACGCGCTGAACACGAATCCGAAGTCCGTTTTGCTCCATCACGTCAGGATTTTTTTCTAACCTCCAAAAACCTGTCGGATTTTGAGAGGTAGGCTATTTTTTTAAAAATTGATGGATTTACTTCAAAATTGGTATCTAGGGGTTTTTTGGGTCGCTGATGACGAATTTGAAGTTAGATTTTCAAAATTCAAAATGGCGGCTCCAATATGGCGGACGAATTTTGTAAAAGTTGATGGATTTACTTCAAACTTGGTATCTAGGGGTTTTTTGGGTCGCTGATTACGAATCTGAAGTTAGATTTTCAAAATTTAAAATGGCGGCTCCAATATGGCGGACGAATTTTGTAAAAATTGATGGATTTACTTCAAACTTGGTACCTAGGGGTTTTTTGGGTCGCTGATTACGAATCTGAAGTTAGATTTTCAAAACTAGAAATGAAAATTCTTATAAACATAAGTAAGGTATTCACGTCTTTTTATGGTAGCGCACTCTTTTGTCCTCAAAGGATTTGTGTAATGGTTTTCTTTTCAAATTGGTGCCTCCAGGTACAATATCCCTTTTCAGCATCCAACAGTAGTCGGCCATCATATTTACATCCCATCTTCCTTGATAACGACGCTCAAATTCTTTCAGATCTTGATGGAATCGTTCTCCTTGTTCTTCACTGTAATCTCCCAAATTTTCAGGGAATTGATCCCGATGCGAGTCTAAGTAATGCAACTTTATGCTCATTAAGCATCCTAACTTACCAAAGGTTTTAATCATATCACTAACTATTTGCTCCCAATTTTCACTCTTGTGATTACCCAGAAAATTTTCGACAACTGCTTTAAAACTAAGCCATGCGGCTTTCTCCTTTTTATTCATCTTGGTGATAAATTGCTCATCTTTTAACAATTTGCGAATACGTGGTCCATCGAAAACCCCTTCTTTTAGTTTCGCATCAGAGATTTCTGGAAACTTTTGTTCCAGGTATTTGAAACAGTTTCCTTTTTTATCTAAGGCTTTGACAAACTGTTTAATTGCTCCTAGTTTCGTGTGTAAGGGCGGAATTATCACCTTTGAAGGGTCGATATCGTCCGCCATATTGGAGCCGCCATTTTAAATTTTGAAAATCTAACTTTAGATTCGTAATCAGCGACCCAAAAAACCCCTAGATACCAAGTTTGAAGTAAATCCATCAATTTTTACAAAATTCGTCCGCCATATTGGAGCCGCCATTTTGAATTTTGAAAATCTAACTTCAAATTCGTCATCAGCGACCCAAAAAACCCCTAGATACCAATTTTGAAGTAAATCCATCAATTTTAAAAAAAATAGCCTACCTCTCAAAATCCGACAGGTTTTTGGAGGTTAGAAAAAAATCCTGACGTGATGGAGCAAAACGGACTTCGGATTCGTGTTCAGCGCGTCAAAATACATGGGAAATGACTAGTCTGGTCTGCCGCGCACGACACTTTTTTTTTTTGTGGGGCTGTGTAATTTTCTAACAAAAAAAATGAGGAGCAAGTTTTCCAAATTTATGATAAATCCACTTTTTCTTATGTCGAGAAATTGAAACAAACGACTTTTCTCACTTAATCACTACAGTTAATTTTAAAATAAAAAATTTCTAATAATTTATTTCTATAATAATGTTTATATACTTAAGACGTTTCCTTTTTAATTAAACTTTCTTGCCGACACTATGATAATAATAAAAACACTAAATTCGCCTTAACCTCTCGCACTCAATCGTACTCAGCCTTAGTCGAATCATTGCATTGTTTTCGCGCATGCGTTAAATCCTTACAGGAAATATCTGTAGAATTAACAGATTTAGGAACATGTAAAATCTCCAAATCAATGTTAAAGAATTACCAGAAAATTTTTTTCCGTGTAGGCTTAAATTAAATCTTATATCTTACACTTTAAGACTCATATGCGCAAGGGAAAAAAAATTTGAAATCTTAATAAAAATTAGGTTCAAGTTACCTAAAAAGATTTTTGGGGTATTTACCCCCATTTTTTTCAAAATTTCAAATTTTTTTAATCCTGCGTAAATGAGTCTTAAAGTGTACGATCTAAGCTTTAATTTAAGCTTATATAGAAGTGTCTAGCACGTCTGGTTAAGGAATAAAAAAATAATGAAAACCTTCAAAAACACTATTTTTGGAGACTTTACCTCCACTTTATTCAAAATCCTGATGTGATACGCAATTTTGGAACCCGGAATCGGGTTCAGCACACAAAAATACATTGGAAACCACTCCGCTATATATATAAAAAAGTGTTATTTTGTAGACCTGTGTTATGATTGTTTATAAACGTTTTTAAGATTTAATTAAAAAATAGTGATTATTTTATTTGATCATATTTAAATTTGAAAATCTTTGTTGGAGTGTCTTGTTGTAATATATGTCATAAAAAATGTCATTTGCCACAGAATTAATGTTTTTTTTAGCGAACACACGAATCTCAAGGGCGCCAATAACTTAAACAGTATGGCCATCTCACCTCGAAAAAACATGGCCATCTCTTCTAATGTCAGGAGACAAATTGACACAACTAAAATATAAATAAGTAAATAAAATTTTTGAATAAATGTAAAGTTATGACAAAGCTTGGGTCATGTACTTTACAAAAAAAACATGAAATTCAAAATTATTCTATAAAATAATATAACACCAGTGAGAAACGTAAACTCATCACTTTTTTTCCGAACTAGTCAAAATAACAAATCAGATTTTTACATACTTTTTCAATATTTTTCGTCAAGTTTTTTCTTTTAATTGTGTTTTGCCATAAAAATTAGTTAAATTATTTAATAATTATTGTAATCACCAGCAAAATTACACGCGCGCAAGCGCGCGTCCAATTTTGAATGCAATGGTTGTTTTAAAATAATAATAATAATAATTCTGCATCAGTGGAGTAATAAATTAATAATAGGTATATTTCTAATTTTCCCGTTATCATTTATTTATACACAGAAAAAATGAGTTTGATGTTATATAAATAGTGATTTTTTAGTTAAGCCAGCTAATAATTATTTAATATAGCAAAAATAATTTAGCTAAGTTAATTTTTAAATTTAATAAACTTGTAAAACTATTAGTTCGATTGTTGACGGTAACAACAATGAAAACCCAAGAAAAAACCTATCGAAAAAGTGATGATAAGAAAAACATAAATTAAAACCAATAGTTACAATTGGCGGTGTAAATGTTAATAAATCAATTCTAGTATCGCCAACATAACTGCCGCCATTTGAAATGCCGAGAAAAATTAATTATGTTATGTCAATTATGATTAAAATATTCTTTGTCACTTATGTATACTTTATACGAATAGGCAGAGGTTGTTGGGATAAAAGATATTACTGACGAATGGATTTTCTTATTGACAGAATGTATATATAACGAGTAAGATCATTTTTTTGTGAATTGATAATAAAAAAATAAGATTTTTAAGTAAAGACTTAAAAATATAAATATACAAATTTTAGAAATAAATATTTTTGATAAAGTCAATGTTCGCTGATTTTTTATAATCTTTGAAATTATAAAAAATTAGTTTTGCTAAATATTTGTTAGAAAATAAGAAACTAGGTATTAAGGTATTTTTTTGAAAAAATATATTGTTACACATTTTTTTCAATATTTTCTCACATATATAAACATAAATTTAAAAATGTGAAAAATTTTAAAGCAGTAAAAATAAAACACGTGCAGAAACTAAAACCTTAAAACAAAATATTAATTTATCGACAACCGTTAAAATAAATATCATTTAACAACTTACAATCTTAAAAAAATGAATAAAATTTTGCTTGATAAAGTCAAACATTGAAATATTTAATTGTCTATCGAGCTTTCACTGCTTCATTTCTGCATTGGAGACAATTTGAAACAATTGTTTGATTTTACAAGTTGTCTTTTATGGTAAGTAAAATTGTAAATATTAATTAATAAAAACTTTAAGAAATATTTTTCAGGCAAAAAATTATAAAATTTTTCATTATAAAAAATTATTTCTTTAAAAATCGTTTATCATAAACGTTGCGTACCTCAGCATCGTGTATTTTCTTATTTTTTATAGTGACGCTACACGAGAGAAGAGACCTACACTGTTAAAAATATTCGTAGTTTTAATATACATAAAGTACTTAAATTTAAGAATCTGTGTATATTAAAGCGAATTTATATATAAAGTATATTAAATTTCATTACCTATAGGAATCAGAATTAAAAAATTGCATTTTACTGAATTTATACATGTTCTTGTGTACAAAATACGTTTTTATTAATAAAGCAAAATAATTTCTTTCATATAAATTCAAGTTTAAATCAATTTACATTGTCAAAATGCATATAATTCGACATTTAGAGTACTTAACCTAAATGTCACGTATGAGCATTAAAATTCTGGTATTTAGAATGATTTTTTGAAAAAATTTACCTCATGAAACATTATTTGTTTGACACGAACAACATATTAATTAAAGAATTAAGCACTGTTATTTCAATTTGAAATAAATTTTCAATATCAAGGAAATAATGACCGTTTGGTGAAATAGGTATTTACAGCCGCCATGTTGGCACATTAAGGGGTTTCCTAAATTTTTTTGGTCAAAAAAATCGAATTTTTTTTTTTCATTTTTTTGATAGGAAAGTATGTTAAGAATGTGTGGTTAAATCATTAGATCGTAATTCGCTCATAATCTTAAGTTATTTAACAAAATACATATATATATATATGCGTCTACAGATCGTATAATTAACCCTTTCGTGCCCACGATAAACCGAGCGAATGGATTTGCTTGAAATTTGTTACTCGGGGATTATTGGGGTCTCTGATTACGAATTTAATGTCAGATTTTAAAAATTCAAAATGGCAGATCCAATATGGCTGACAAGTTTTTTAAAAAGTGTTTAGATTATCTCGAAATGTCCTACTCGGGGGTTTATGGGGTCGCTGATTACGAATCCGGTGTCCATTTTCAAATTTCAAAATGGCGGATCCAATATGGCGGACGAGTTTTTAAAAAATACTTGGATTGGCTCAAAATTCTTACTCAAAGGGTTTATGGGGTCGCTGATTACGAATATGATGACAGAATTCGAAAATTCAAATATAGAAAAGGTTTTTTCGTTTGCTGATAATAAACCCGACATGGTCATGGACCCAGTACGGACAATTCATCATATTCATATCATTTCATCATTTTCGAGCAAATCCGATTAGTTTTAAAATTTTCGTCCGCCATATTGGATCCGCTATTTTGAATTTTTAAATTCTGACATCATATTCGTAATCAGCGACCCCAAAAACCCCCAAGTACCAAGTTCCGAGTAAATGCACGGAAAGACTTTGTGCATCACTTTCTGTCAAACTTGCCAAGAGATTTTAGTAAACTCGCGACCAAACTCGGAAAAAATGGAAAACTATCATTTTATATAAATGTTTTCAACAAAAAATGTTTTCTCTTTTATCAAAATTTAGTAGTCACGCTAAGAAATATTCATTTAACGCTGTAAGAAAAATTAAGATTAAGAAAAAATGAATGTCAAAAGTATATTCTTTATATTTGTAAGAACGACATTTTCGTTGCGTCGTGTTTACAATTTAATAGTCTCACGATGAAAACAGCACGCATACAAACAAGCGAAGCTTGTCCGTGTAGCGTCAGCAGTTGAATAGTTCCGGCATAGATAGAAAAATGTCTACACAACGAACTCTTTTAATAATCCTGTTTGCATAAAAAATTAATTCTGACATTTCCTAAAATTGACCTTATTAATAATATTAAATAATTTATTTTTTTGAAATTTTTTTATTGCACTTGAAATAAGTTTAAACATAATAAAAATTTTCTCGTAAGTGGAAATGAAATGGTGAGATTAGTATATAAGAAAAATAAACTGCCCTCTTGATATCGTTGATATGAATTGTATTTGCGTTGCGTCGGTTAAAGCGAGCGTTTACCCTATCTGTATTTTAGGCGATTTTAGGTTCAGATGCGTTAATATATGTGATCTCTCGTTCATAGGTAAATTGGATTTCTAGATTACTTGTCGATTGTCGATATATATATACGTATATATGAGGTTTCAGATGGCAACTTTAGTAGTCACGCTATTAAAAGCCAAATGTTTTTTTAGTGAAACTTCAGATTTTATTTTTTGATCGACTGACTATTAAATTTTAAAATTCTCAACAATCAATTATTGTACGTCAGTAACTTTTTTCTGATTTTAATAGTCAGACTACGAATTATTAATATCTTTCCTTTTTTTCCGAGTTTGGTAAAAAGTTTACTAAAATCTCGTGGCGAGTTTAACACAAAGTGATGCACAAAGTCTTTCCGTGTGCAATTGATTTTTAACTTTCATGTCCGCCATATTGGATCCGCCATTTTGAATTTTTAAAATCTGACATCATATTCGTAATCAGCGATCCCAAAAACCCCTGTGTAAGAATTTTCAAGCTGATTTAGTTACTTCTGCTTGACTCATTATAACCTTTTGATATCAAAACTTTAAACGCTTTTTTCTCAAAACACTATATTTAAAAATGGTAACCATAGTAGAACTCAAAAACCGTTTGACCGATTTCAAAAATTTAAGTTGCATTCGATTCAGTGGAAGTTTTTGCAGGTCCTAAGCCTCTAATATATTTAAAATATTCAATAATCAGGTTTTTGTGAGTGATTGATTGTCAAAAAAATGGTGTTTTTTCAGTTTTTTGGGTTCCAAAGCTTGCCATTTTTTTAATTTTTGATTTTTTTTAATATCTCGAGGTTTAGGACCTGTATTAGGTCTTAAACTTTAAAATCACGTTTGATTTTTTTATTTTAGATGATTCTGCGATGAGCTACAGTGGTTACCGTAAAGGACCTTGATTTTGACCAGTGTACATAGCGACCTCTGTAGAAGGAGCATAATAATATTTTTTAAGATCGCAATTTTTTTTTGAATAGTTCTTGACGTATATAGTAACATGTAAAAACTTTTGATCAATTATATTTTAAAACTTATGAGTACACGATCTTTTAAAAACCTTCTATTTTAGGGCAAAAAAATTTAGGAAACCCCTTAAATTTAATATACATGTATCTTAGATTTCAATACCTGTAGTGCATATTCGCTTCATACGCATGTCTATTAAATCTAATACAGATTTTTTTAACAGTGTATCTCCGAAATAATATTAGGCTTAGTTTTCATGTACGGTGCACGGAAAACTGAGCCTAATGCTATTTCAGGGATAGGTCCTTTCTCTCGTGGAGCGTCACATTATAGATTTTGAAAAAAATTGTTTCGGGCAAAAAAAACTTTTGAATCAAAATTTCCCGTGAAATGTCCCATATATATTCAAGCACATTTTTAGGATCTTATTTGTCCTTATACTCGTTCTAAACTTGAATATAAAAAATTATACCTCCATGAAGTTGGCGTCGACGCTCAGCATCGAAAATTATTTTTCACGGGACCAAAAATATCAAATCATTTTTAAAAAGGTTTTAGGTCCACATAATACTTTGAAAAGTATTTTTCAAGGCATCATTTGGACCGAAAATCATAAAAAAAATAATTTGACATTTTTGGTTCTGTAAAAAACAATTTTCGGCGCTGAGCGTCGACGCCAACTTAACGGAGGTAAAATTATACTAATTATGCTAATTTTACTTTACCTATAAATAGCACAGCTTTTTGCAAGATGTTTGCAGCAACTTTGCAGTGCAAGTCTGCAGAAATCTTGCTGTTAAAGTTTACAAACTGTTTGCAGAAAGTTTGCTTGGTAAAATTTCATAAATAAAGTAAAAATACAATTATTTCAGGTTCATTAAGGAAACAAACAAATTCCAAAAAAGTACAGAGATATAACAGCGAAAGTATAAAAGTAAAAAGTAAAGACAACATTAAGCGACTCCACTTATGATGGACGACACATCATTTTTTATTCAAGGTTCATTAAATTTCCAGTTTTTATCGGTTTGTCACTATATTAACACTCTTGGACTTATATTTCACAACGAAAACCTAACTACATTAGATGAGCGACAGCAAACAGTGTCTGTCCTCAATGCTCTATTTCAATATCTTGATAATTCCAATAATGAATTTGAGGCAAAACTTGAGCTTTTAAAAACTATATTGAAAGGAACTGATCTCTATGGAGGCGAAAAATATGAACGACTTGATCCAAATTACGTTGATGAAACATTTCAGTACATCATTAAAACTACCCTGTTTTCACATTATGAAAATATAAATATGTATTTATCAGGAATAATCAATATGGAATCTCCTGAAACTTATTCCGGAATTATACAATTTATAGAAAAGAAGTTCAATGAGGAATACATCAGTAATGACTACTGTTTACCAGCAAAAGAAAGTCCAATACTTAATTTACTGTCAAGAAAAAAAGTATTTTTGGACTATATTTTACCCATGTTTCCTAAGCCGTCCGATGAAAATATGAAAATTACTGACAATGATTATATATACGCAATGGCTGGGTCAAAAATTGTTAGATATATATTCAAAGAAACACTACACGCTTCTTTTAGAGATTACGTTTTTATTACTCAAATATTATATTTGCAGGAGTATTTCAAAGAAAAAACCTATCAAATCCTGTTTGTACTTTTCTCAACACCAGCATTATTTTTCTACGAAAAATATAAAAATTCTCGTACAGAGAAATTTTTGAATGTAGAAGATAAAAAATTGTCTTCATATCTTCATCTAACAATGGATAAAATACATGAAACTCCTGTAAATCAACTACAAATAATAGATCCTGTATTTGAATTAACTATCCGCCTAAGCTTGTTTGGTCACCAAACATTTTACAAGCCGTTTTCCTTTATGCTTCACATAATTCCAAACGATTCTATGTGTGGAAATCTCAAAATGCTATTATCATCCATGGTAAAGAAACTAAAAACATTTATGGAAGTGCCAACAACATTTAATGGACTGATACAAAATGTTATTGGTGAAAGGCATACTTTTAAAATCGTTCAATACTATTATCCCACAAGTAATAACTTTTTTGGACCCAAATGCTTTATATTTTCTGGACATCATAATGCAGAACTAAGAACAATTGAAGGCAATCCATTTCCAGTTCCAGTATTGCCAATAAATTATGGGGTAAACAAAATTTATTATCTTGAATATTTACCCTTAAGTAAGAAAATTGGTGAGGTGAAGCTGGAAATTGGAAAAGATGATATTCTCCGAAAAATAATACCTATAACTACAAGTAACGAGTACGAGACACCGATAAAGAAGATGAAACCAAATCCGACAGAAAATTTTAATGCACCTATTGAAGAACCAAATTTGTCTTTTGTCGATAATCAAGATACACACAGAGAACTTAATATAAGAGGAGGATTACCAAGTGATAATATTCCTGGATCATCAAAAGCAGTACTGATGAAGGATAATAATGATGATATTCAAAAGAATGATAATAATAATGGTAATGATAATACTGATCAAGAGCAACTTAGTGATGAAAATTTGTATTATATTTATAAAGTTAAGAAAAGAAGAAAACAAAGAATGCTTTGAGGCATTACAACAATTTAAGAAGAAAGGGTTATACGCATTAAAAGAAGATAAAATTTTGTTGAAAAAGATTCGATTAACGGTTGAGTACTTATCTATTTTGCAATATGATAGAATTGAGAATCAAGGAAGAAAAGAACTGTGGTTTTATAAAATATTTCCCCTCAATAGGGGCAGAGAGGAATTGAGAGTAAGCACGTAATGCAAATCGCGCTTTTCTATTAAAATCTGCCCCCTCGCGGTCAAAATATCGAAGCTTAGGTGGTTAGCTATATATATTGCTTAAATCGGTGAGGCTACACACATACGCATAATGTAATGGCTAAGACGAATGACGTTCGGAATTGATCGGGCGGGCTCGTGTATCTTTGCGTGAATTAGAGAAACAAACTGAAAACGAACCGTGCGGGCCTCATCCAATGTTTTGACTTTTTTTCAGATTTCATTATCGGCCAATATTTTTAAGGTTAAATTTTTATTAAATTTAGAATTATAAATGTTCTCTCGTCGAATATATACTTCAATAAATACGGAATTCTTTTACGATAAATCTTATAATAATTATTATAAATTTTTAATTAAAATTTTTTTTCTTAAACATATGGGTGATTTCAAGTGTGATTTCATTCGAACCTTTAATTTCAGTAAAAACTAATTTTTTCTTGTTCTGTAGTAAAAAAAATAGATCCTTTTTTATGCAATTTTTCGAGTTATAAATTTTCAGAAAAAAAATGAATTTCTTTCATTTTCGCCAAGAGAAGAAAAGTTTCAGTTTTTCTTTTACTTTTCAATAATGTTAACAAAAAATTTTTTTTTTATTTTTTATTAAAAAATATAATTATTTATAAAGAAATTAAGTTTTTTTAAATTTGGATATGATTTAAAAAAAAAAAATTTTTTAAACATACCTGGAAATACTAAGATTTTGCAAAAAAAATTAGAGAGGCGGTAAGTTTTATAGGTTTAAATAAACATTTAAACACTGCGCGCAGCATTGTGCTTATTTCTGAAAATTAAAAAAAAATTGTTAAATTGTTAAAAAAAATTTTTTATTTTTCATAGTGAAATAAAATTTCAGGTTACAAAAAAATTTTTTTTTATAATTTTTAACAATTTTTTTTACTACTCAGAAATGTGCACAATGCTGCGCGGATGGTATATATTTAAATGTTTATTTTAACCTATAAAACTTATTAACCCACTCTAAATTTTTTGCTAAATCTTCTTATTATTTCCAGGTATGTTTTAAAAAAAATCACATCTAAATTAAAAAAACTTAATTTGTTTATAAAAAATTGTAATTTTTTAAATAAAAAATGAAACAAATTTTTTGTTAACATTATTAAAAAAAATTGAAAAAATCTAATTTTTTCGAGTTATCAGCGATTAAAAATAGGTCTACATTTACAAAAATGAAATTTTGAAAATACATATACATCTCGAAAAGTTGAACAAGAAGAAAAAATATATGGCCGAATTTAAAGTGTCCAATGAAATCTCACGTTAAATCACCCATATATAAAAGTTAATGATTTTTTTTAACAGAAAAAAATATATTAATAACCACTGTAAAATAAAATTATTATTGATAAATTGTTTAAAATTATAATTTTTATAAATATCTTTATTTATTTAATTTAGTTAAAACATAAATAATAATGTGAAAGTAAACACAATAGAAAATTCGATACAAATTAATATTGTATTAAATTGTAGGTAATTTTAATAGGTACTGACAACAATGTTTACATTTTAATTTTAAAGAATATTCTCATTTTATTTAAAATTAACTCATTTTTTTATTTGGACAAGCCAACGTAAAAGTTACTTTCAAAATTTAATTTCGGGTTGATATATTTGCTATTTTTTATTATTAAAAAATATCATATAGGTACTTACATATTTTTTATTTTCAAATTTTATAAATTTTGGTTTTGTAAATACACATTTATGTAGGTATTTTAAATTGCTTATATCTTTTAAAAAAATTCAATTTAGAAAAATTTTGTCAAAAGATTAATTTTTCTTTAACTTCAAAAAAAAAAATATATATATATTATAAAAATTGTATAGATATAAGTTTTTAAATAAAAAAATTGTTCTTATTAATAAATTAATTATTTTTACATATGGGTCGATAAAAGAATTAATAATTATTAAAACACAAAAAATTATAATTATAAAAATTATATTATAAAATTTATAATTATAATAAATTAATAAAAAAAAATAAATAACAATCAAAATATAAACCGAGATATAAACTATTTTTCCGGCCCCAATGTAAAAAGAATTAAGTAATTAATTTACAAAAACAATTTTTCTGATTTAAAAAAACCTATAAAATATTTTTTAAAATTGATTATTTTATTTATTTTTTTAAGTTAAAAAAACTAATCTCTTGACAAAATGTTTTTAAATTTAATATTTTAAAAAATATAAGCTACTTATAATGTGTAAAGATTTACAAATCGAAAATTTAAAAAATTTGAAAGTTTAATGTAAGAAAATGATATTTTTTATACACTATTAAATAGACAACAAAAATTGGCTCAATTTTAAATAAAATGAGAACATTCTTAAAAATTAAATTGTAAACATTGTTGTCAGTATTAAAATTTTTAAATTCTAAAATATGTTATTTTATTATAATATTACAAAGAATATTACTTTTCAAAAATTTTTACGGCAAAATAATAAAAAGAATTTGATTATTATTTATTATTACATTATTATTTATGATCTAACTGAATTAAATAAATAAAGATAATATTTATAAAAATTATAATTTTAAACAATTTATCAATAATAATTTTATTTTACAGCGGTTATTAAATATTTGTTTCATTTTAAATTAATTATTATAAATTAATAATTATTATAAGATTTATCGAAAAAGAATTCCGTATTTATTGAAGTATATTTTCGACGAGAGAACATTTATAATTCTAAATTTAATAAAAATTTAACCTTAAAAATATTGGCCGATAATGAAATCTGAAAAAAAGTCAAAACCGAGGTCAAAACATTGGATGAGGCCCGCACGGTTCGTTTTCAGTTTGTTTCTCTAATTCACGCAAAGATACACGAGCCCGCCCGATCAATTCCGAACGTCATTCGTCTTAGCCATTACATTATGCGTATGTGTGTAGCCTCACCGATTTAAGGAATATATATAGCTAACCACCTAAGCTTCGATATTTTGACCGCGAGGGGGCAGATTTTAATAGAAAAGCGCGATTTGCATTACGTGCTTACTCTCAATTCCTCTCTGATAGGGGTATGAAAACCATAATTATGAATCTAAAAAAAATGGAATTTTATTTTAATGATATTACCCTTTTGACTGAAAATTCAGTGAACATGAAATTTTCAACAAATGAGTCATTTACTATAACATCTAAAATAGAAGTATTCTGTCGAGTGCATGCTGATTTGAAATATGGATTAGTCGATCTTGGTGCATTTCATTATAGTTTTTCAAATCAGTACATTTTATTTCCGGATGTCAACTTTCAAGTAAACCAACTTATATACGATAATCGTAACCATACATTAACTTTGAATCTAAAACAAAAGCCAATACAAAAAGAGGAATGGTTGAAAATTAGAGAAACGGAATGGTTGTCACTTAATAATGAAATAATACAAAATAAAAGAAGCGAAAGTATTGAGAATTTAGCCTACGAAATATCTTCAAACACAATTCTACGTAGATTTAAAGAAATGAAAGAAAAATTGGAAGGATATATTTTAAGAATCAGTGAAATTAAAAGCACTACTCCTACTTATGCTGACTTTGCAACAGATATTATATTAGGTAACAATCTATTATTATTATTATTTATTTTGTCTGCAAATTCCAAGAATTTATACAAAAGTAGTTTCATCTTATCTAATACAATTTTTGCTTAAAATTAGGATACAGTCTAAATAAATATGACAATTGAAAATTAGAAAATAACAATTTTAATAAAGATTTGCTATTTCATAAATCATTATACAAGGTTAATGATTTAGAATCAGCTAAGAAAATAATTAACAATGCATTTGATGGTGCGATCCCACAAGATGTTGAACCTATATTTTCAATGTATCAAAATACGGATAATATTGAGAGTCAAATCCAATTTGAGGACTACTACGTCATCTATTCATATCTTAATAATCCTTTTACATTTGATGAAAAAGCATTAAGACGACTTGAAATCTCAATACACAAACTAGCTATAAGACAGTGTGCAGAAGAATTGACAGTAAATCAACCAATTACCCTTTACACTACTGCTTTCCATTTATCTAACTTTAAACATCACCTAAAACTACATAAAATAGCTCTATTTTATATGAATCCCGAAAATGCGGTACAAAGTAGGTCACGCATTTATTCTCTTCAATCAGTATTGTTTGAACTAAAAAGTAGCAACCACGATGGAATAGCAGACATTGGTCGTATTATACAAAATAAAAAGGGATTATACTTTATTCCCGCTATAATACCACTTATTCAGAAAGGATCGGTTGGTTTTCTAACTATTAATGAAAAAATAATGAACCTTCGGCAGTATCAGATTGATGGAGAAAAAGAATCAATAATGATTTATTTCATGAAAATGCTAAATTATCTACAATCATAGAATACTAAATTTTAAGTTAATAATGTCTAAATGATTAATTTATATTACACTATATTCAACATATATATAAAGTTTAGTTTATATAAAAACTCTACAACAATTTTTAGTTTACATTAAAGAGTATTTAATCCACCAAAGCAGCACTTACACTTTTGGAGCTAAATATTAACTATTGATATTAATGTAATAATAGTAAAACATTGTTTAAAATTATTATAAAAATAAAACTTATTTAGATAAGAAAATTAGTCAATTTGAAATAAATTTTGCGTTTAAATTATCATGTATTTATATTTTAATTATTTAAGCGACCATTATATCCCACAGTCGGCCCAACCAAATTGTTTTTCACAGGATAAAAAGTGCCAAATTATTTTTTTTTTAATTTTCAATCCAAATAATACATTGAAAAATACTTTTTAAAAATGATTTGTTTTTTTTGGTCCCGTGAAAAACAAATTTCGATGCTGAGCGTTGACTCCAACTTCATGGAGATACAATATCGATAATATTATTTTAATGATTAATTAATTAATTAATATTGTTTTTTTTACTTTGTCTTTATTTGATTGTAAAATATTTTTTGGAATCGTATTTTCGATTGATTGTACTATTCTTATATTAAATTTAATAGCAAAACAGAGGCGTTACCAACATCCCATTTGCCAACTTTCTTATATAACAATTTTAAAATCATTATGATAATGTAATATCATTCAAAAAAATCATAATATAAATACATTGTAGAAATTGTATATTGTATTAAAGGACATTGCCCGTAAATTACAAATATTAAAAATTGTGCTGCCACTCATCGTCAAAGAGAAGTACTTTTTATTGGATTACCAAAACCTGCTTTATCTACTTACAATCCCTGAATAACTGCAACAATTTAAGCAGCAATGCATATCAGTCTGTCATATTAAAATTTTTAATTCATTATTTTATTTATATATATATATATATATATATATATATACAAAAAGATTTTAAACATATATTGCCTTTTTATTTTTTAACATTATTGTTTTATAACATTTGTACTTGCTTTATTATCTATATAAGAAAAAACCAAACTATACAAGTACAGAAATTTTTTATTTGAATCAATATTACTTATTTGAATTATATAAAAATATGGAGAAAATAAATCTAATCTAATACTTAAGAAAATATATATATAAAAATAAAAATTTTAACTAACAAAAAATTTAATAATAAATTGATGTTATATCGATCTCTCCGAGTTTTAATTCGTTTAAAATTTATGATTTATTTTTACTGGTAAGAATTAAAACGAAGCTAAAGTACGCAACGTTTATGATAAACGATTTTTAAAGAAAAAATTTGTAAAAATGAAAAATTCTATAATTTTTTGCCTAAAAAATAGTTCTTGTAGTTTTCATTAATCAACAAATTATAAAAAAAATATTTTTTAGGCAAAAAATTATTTCCTTAAAAACTTCAGTTTTGTTAATTAAAAGAAAATTTTTTTTTTAATTTAAAATATTTAAAAATAATGTATTATAAAATATTGTAATTTTGTTTATTGTTTTTCATATTTATGTTTTAAAAATTAATTTTATTTTCTGAAGAGGACGGCTGTGCTGTTGAAACGTAAAAATCAAAAAAAAAAATTGACTTTTATTTATTTTGTAATTTGATAATATTAATTTATAATTAAATACCACTGAGTGATAAATTTAACATAGGTATATATAAAAAAAATTAGTTTTCTTAACAAATAAATATTTATTCATCTCTGAGGCAAATAAATTTTTTTCTCTATTTATATATATAATAAAAAATATATATAAAGATATATTTGTTTATTTACGTGTCAACGGGGCAGTGCCGTTTTAATTATAATATTGTTAAATTGAAAAACAAATTCTTTTAAATGTTTTATGTCAAAATTATTAATGATTATAGAAGAAAATTTATTCGCTTTAAATTCGTAAATTAGAAGTTGAACAATTAGAGAGTGAGATAGAAATCTCTCATTATTTGTTATAATATACACACAATGAATATTAAAGAGAGGAAAGAGAGAAGACTGATCGAAATAGATGTTGACGTATATATATACGCTATCCTGGCGAAAAATCAAAACTAGATATGCGAAATAGCAAGGAAATTGCGTGATGTAATAATTGTCCTGTGGGAGTGACTGAATTTGAACTAGTGCTACAATACAAGTGTTGCACACTATGGGAACTATTGTTACACATTTTACAGTCTACTACTGTTTTTACTTTGAGCGATGACTCCCACGTGGCTTTCACTTGTCCCCGCGTTATATTTCTTAGCTCAACGTCCGTCCTCAACACCTGACTTTTTATTTCTCCTCATGATCATTCAATTGTCACCTTTTTTTTTTAACTTTATTCTTATCCCTTTTCAAATTCTATTATTTACTCGCTTCTTAAATTGTTAGAAAATATCAATTCAAACTAAGATTATTATTTTTTTATTTTTTATCTATTTTTTTCTTTCAATTTTTATTATATGTTTAATGATTATTTTAAATTTAGATTTTTAAAATTATAATAACAGAGTAAATGTTTTTAAAATTTTTTATCTATATTTTCCTTTGAACTTTTTTTTATATTTAATTTTTATTTTGAATGTCGAATTAAAATATTTTTAATTTTAATTGTTTACAAAATAATGTTTACCCTTTAATAAAATTTTGATATTTTAAATTTCTTATAATAAATATAAATGAATAAATTAGATAAAAGCGTTTAATTTTTAAATGCGAGAAATATAAATGTTTACATATTTTTTGTGTGTTTTCCTATTAAATCTTTTTGTGAAAAAAAGCATTTATGTTAAAAATATTTACATTAAAAATATATTTTTTTTAAATAAATTTCCAGCTTCCGAAGAAGATAGTAATTCTGCTGAAACGTAATAAAATATAGTTTTTATTATTATTTTAAAATCCTGAATCAAAGTAATCGATATCGTCTTTTTATTTAAAAGAAATATATTCTTTTTGCCGCCTACATAAAAATATGAATTTAAAAATTTGTAACCCTTGAGCTTAAAAAATAAGTATTGACAAAAAACTGTTTAGTATATTTCGACAAATTTACAAATTGCCCTATTTTTAATTTTTTTTATTTTTTATTATTATATTTATATTACTATAAATAACAAAATTAAAAGCCGCGAACTATAAAAATGTACAAAAAAAAACATGAAAAAGTATAATTTACAATTATTAATACTGGCATTAAATTAAAATTATTACCATTCTGAAAGTTACAATCTAAGTACTAATAAATTTTATATGTTTAAAATTCACACGATTAAAGTATGAAGAAATTTTTTTTTAATTTTCTCTAATATATGTACATACTCGCACTATTAAAACATGCAGATAGGAAGTATAGAGAAATAAGTATATACCCAATGAAAGTCAATAGCAAAATCATTTCGTAAATTTTTTTTTCCCTTAATAAGTAGTGTACAGCACTGATGAGAATTTCGTGCTTATAAATAGCGAATTAAAAACAATGGGCGATAATTCGTTAGTTGTGAAAAAAATCATGAATCTGAATAAATATGTAGGTCACCGGATGGCTTCTAATATTTTAATGTATTTTTATTAGTATGTAGGTACTTTCATCAAATGTAAAATTGTATATATTATAAAACTAAAGAAAAAGCGTGCAAAATAAAGAAACTTCAATAAAATATAATAAATTAAACTGGGGTCGAAAAGTTTCAGTACATTTGGATTGATTGATAGAAAATACTCGCTTCACTTTAAATAAAAACATTGGGCCAACGCAGAATGAAATCTCTAATCGTAAATCTTAAGCTTCTACATAGGAGAGAAAAGGACAAAAGATATTTCTATCCTTTTCTCTCTCATTGTAAAAGCTTAAGATTTACGATTACACTGAAAAAAGGATTTGGTATTGACAACCAAACGTCTGGTTGTCCCAATTAAACTTTAGTTAGGACAACAAAAATAGTTTTTTTCTAATTTTGGTTGTGTCAAACAAATTTTGGTTGAGACAATTAAAATTTTGTTGATTTAACAAAAAAAAATTGGTTGCTTAAATACCAACCAAACGTTTGGTTGTCAATACCAAACACTTTTTTCAGTGTAGAGATTTCATTCTGCGTTGGCCCATTTTTAAATATTGAACTGCAGACAACACATAAGCAGAGTTGGGAATGTAAATTATTATATGTAATTTACATTGAAACGTCCAAAATGTGACATCTTTTTCGGATGAGTTTTTAAAGGTGTTTTCACAACTCACTAGTTTTCGGTATATCGAAAAAAATACCTAGATACGATTATTTGGCGAAGAATTTAAAATTATATTATAATATTTCTGAAAAATATAATGGTATGAAGAAAAATGATGAATAAATTATAATTGTAATATTTATAATAAAATTAAAATTAATTTATTCTTTATATCATTATATTTTTCAGAAATATTATAATTTTAAATTCTCCGCCAAATAATCGTATCTATTTTTTTCAGTATACCGAAAACTAATGAGTTGTGTAAACAACTTTAAAAAACTCATCTGAAGAAAATGTCACATTTTGGGCGTTTCACTTTAAATTGCACATAGTAATTTATATTTTCAACTCTGCTTTTCTGTCGTCTGCAGTTTAATATTTATTATTTCTACATGCCATTGTTATTTCAATTACATAATTATTTTGTGATTTTTTCTGGTAAAATCAAGAAATCAATTCATATATAAAGTAACTGCAAACTGTCCAAGATAGTTGTACTTTAATACCAATTTCGGGTATCAAAAAATGATCCCAAGTTTTGTATAATTTCTAAAAAATGATCGAAATAATGAGGATCAAGTTGATACCACTTGTGGGTATCAAAACGTTGCATACTTTGATTCAAATTTTAGAAAAATTTATACTTTCAGAAAAACTGTGTATATAAATTGACTAATTCAAATTTAGAGAGTATATAAAAAATATTTCTAACAATCTATTGATATATAGATGTAATTATAAATGTATAATTAATTTCTTATTATACATACCCCAATGATAGATCTAGGTTAATCTTGAAGGTTAAATGCACGTCAACAAGACAGTGGTAGACAGGAGGAGAGATTGTAAGCAGGGTGGTGGTTGCTATTGTGTCACTCCATATATAACGGATCTCGCAGCACCCCGCATGCTATTGTAAACATTCACCGCATGTGCGGTAACATGGTTTCCAGTCACAAGGTATCTAAGTTACTTTTGTACACGCGAGTTTCTGTTCCTTGTCTTGGTGAAATAGTGTTTGACGTTTAGCCGGCAATTCGCGAATTCATCATTTTATTATATTTATAATATAAAACAGGAATTCACAAATTTTATTTATATTTACATGTTTTCACTACTATACCAGCGATGTTACCATGAGTTTTAGAGTGTAAAATAACTTTTCGAATTTTTTTTCTGTTCCCACAAAATAAAGGTGGTGTGCGATTTTTAAAATTATCAGCAAAAACGGATATTATTATTTTGCTCCAGTAACAATAGTGTCAAGAGAAGGATCAAATTGTGCAAAAAAAAAAAAAAAAAAAATGACTGTATGATAATTTTTCAACTCTTACTCCTTAATTTTATTTGTATTTTCAAATCTTGACCAAAAACGTTTAAATAATTAACTAAGTAATTTTCAGAAATTAAATAATTAAATTAGCTGTAAATTTAAATGATTTTTAAAGATTATTAAAAAATTTTTATAAATACAAAATAGTAAATTTTTCATATTTGTTCTTTAATATAAATAATATAAATCATCGAATCAATAAATATTAATAAAATATACTTTTACTTCTTTTTTCTCTTTTTTTTACTTTTTCTTTACTTGTAGATAAATTTTTTATTCAAATTAAATATTTTAATTAAATAAAAATACGATTTATCTGTAAACTAAATAGCAACTATTTACTTGTGTCAAATAAATTTTTTAAAATAGTTTTTTGATTTGTAACGATTTTTAATTAAAAAACTTTTTAAATAAACTAATATTATTAAATTTGTTAATGTTATAACCAAAACTTATTTTCTTCCTTTTCTTTTTTTTCAAAATAAGAAATCAATTATGTAATATTTATTCTTTTAGATGCAAAAATTCAACTAATTTCTATGCATTATTGGAAAATTGTTCAGTTTATTAAATTTGAAAGTATATTATTATCTTATTGGTTAATCATTTGCAATCAACATTATATTAGTAATAAGTTCCATCATAAAAATTCATAACTTTTTAGTCGAATTACACAAAAGCCGCAGAAAGTATAAAAATAATGAATGCAAATTGTTCTGTTGTTTAAAAAGCCTGTTTTTCCTTTTGTTCTTCTTATGTATATACGACAGGAATGTTTTGTCAGTTCACATGCGTTATGAGAAATCTCGGAAATAAAATAAAAGAAGTATCAATTTCTTTTGGTGACAAACAACGCGCACTTTTTCTTAATGTCTCTATTCACCTCTTACATCTATGAAATTAAATAAATTTCTAAAATATTGTAAAAATTTTAAGAAAAAAAAAATTGTACATAAAAATTTTTTTTTTTCTAACATTTATTTCTACGTCAAAAAAAAGATTTTAAATTAAATAGTAATTCAATTATTTAACGACAATAATATTTTTATATAAAAGCAGTAATAATAAATTTATTAAAGTAAAATCACAGTTATTTTAAAACTATTATATTTATGCCATAATTATCAAATTGATATAAAAATTTGGATTAATTTACTTTTAATTTAAGTTATCGTGATTTCCTTACAGTTTTTTTTTCAATTCCATTTTTTTTATTGTAAAAGAGATAGATATATATTTTGTTTTAATCTAAACAATAAATGTTAGAAATCAAAGCAAATGGGTCTATGAATTTTATGTTAAAGATGACGCCATGGTTGATGGCAATTTTCTGCTTGGCAACAGCTGGATGTTCAAATATTACTGATCAACAGGCGTCAGAAAGTAATCAACAGGTGGCTATTCTTAAGCAAATTAGGAAAGTCAACGAAGACGGATCATATACCTTTGGATATGAAGCTGGCGATGGTTCATTTAAGGTACATTTATTATTTTCTTGTTTAAAAAAAAAACATCCTCCAATATAGGAAATAATATCAATTATAAATATGTAGCACTAAAGTTATTTTAATCTTCCGTCATTCGCAAAAAATAGAAATAACATTTTCTTTAAATAAATCTTAGATATACTTTCTTTAAATTATTAATATAATATTTTTACTTTACTCATTGATATAATATATATGCGGATTATCGATCATACAAATTATTCTATGTGAATTTTTTTTTCTGATTTTAATAGTCAGAGTACGAATTATATAAATAACGTTCCCTTTTTTTCCCAATATCCTAAAAAGTAAAGAAAAATAAAATAAAAGTCTTTCCGTGTAGTTGTAATTAATGCAAACAAACAATTATCACAAGGGTTACTGATAATTATTTTCAAATTAATTCTTAAACATTTTTTAATCAGCGAATGATGGAAGATTAACACTTGTGTAAGAATGTATTCTCAAATCACTTGAAGCGAATATTTCGCCCTGAAAGTGAGAATGCGTGATTGCTAGGTCGAGAGCCGTGACGTTTTAGGCAACGTCAAGGGCACTTTTGGTTTCGTCGACGCTGACGGCGAAATAAAAAGGGTTTCCTACACCTCCTCAAATGGAACTGGCTTTAAAGCGACCACCGTCTCACCATTACAGGAACACGTGACGGCAGTTCAAAGCAGAAACAATCGTACAACATCGAGGAAGCCAACAGTTGTTTATGCAACATCCTCAGAAACATCGACAAAATCCTCAGTTGTTCAATCAATACCAAGAACTCGTAAAACAACCACTACACCAAGTTCATTATCAACAACCGCCACATCAACACTATCAAGTAGCAGTACTTCTTCATCGATAGAATCCACCACAAAACCTGGTTTATCACATTTTCGAACAACAACCCGAAGTCGACCTCGATTCATTATCAATGGTCAACAACGTCCACCAATTCTTGAAGAGGAAGCATCAACAGAAGATTCACAAACAAAAAAACCCGAGGAAAAAGTCTCGGCATTTCGTAAAATTATCTTCGCCAAACGGCCCGTTGACGTGACACTACGGCCAATTACTGAGGAATTCGAGGAGAAAGAGGAAGACGATAAAATCACCACAGGAAATAGTTTACGAAGACAATTACACGAGGAAGGCACCACAAAGGCCATTCCTGTCGTTAAAATCGAACACATCGAAGATGATCACGGTGATCACGTCTACGGTGGTGCTTTATCCACAACACGACCATTATTTACCACCGGTAGTCCACCAAGAATTATTCAAAGGGTAGCTCCCCTTCGACCCGAGCGTGCAAAATCCATTTTCATCAATAGAGACAATTTAGGACCCGCTAGATTCGATCCACCACGAACTTACGAATCAGATCCCAAAGTTCAAGACGACAGGGTCAATGCAGCAGCCATGGAGCAACAAATTCTCCTCGGACCATCAACGCAAGATCAATCACGAGACTATCCACAAACAAATCCCGAGCAACCTGTCTATGTCCGTCAACAAGACGGATATCGAGTGTTACCACCCGGAGGTGTTTTAATTAGAGGTCCTCCACTTGAAAACCTCCTGCAGGAAGAGAATCCAGCGACTTATAGAACACCTAATCGTGTACTATACCGACCTCAGCAATCAGTTTACCCAACGACAACAACAACTGAACCAAACGTTCACTATTTAACCGAACAACCAGTCGAGGATCCAAGAATAACAAATCAGGATTACGTCAGAAGGGACAGAATTTATCGTCCACTACCACCTTACACTGAACCAAGTCCCAGAGATAGGCCCATGATGCTCCAGCCAATTAGACCAATTCCAAGACCTGTGGCCCGACCCGTTGACGATAGGGATTATCAAACACTTTCTCCCGATGGATATCAATATTCTGGACCAATAGCCCTACCACCTGAACCACCAAATCCAATTGCACCACCTCTAAGTCGAAGGGACTTTCAAATGCTTCTGCGACGTCTTCTCGTCAGTCAGTATGGTGTTCAAGCCTTAACATATCCAAAAACATATTTAGAAGACGCTCTCTACGATCAGCAACCATATCCTTCGTATCAGTATAGAACTTCAGCTCCACGACAAGACACTGGCTTTGAACCGAGATACGGCGATAGAGTTCCTCTTGTAAGATCAACACCCACTGCATCTTCAGCCGGTGGTTATTCTAGAAATGTAGCACCCATCTATCAGCCAATGAGATACGATGATTATATGGAGGGAACTTCTTATCCAAAACGAGTTTATCGGCAAAAGTTTTATGGACCTGAAGATTCGGATGATGGAGATGAAATTTTACCACCACCAATTAGAGAGGCACTACTACTGAGAATGTTGCAGCTTGCCATCAATGTTGAACGACCACCAATGTCAATGGCAGTACCAATGACCACTGCATCTTCAACGTCCAGGTATAGAAAAATGGGACCCATTCGAAGTGTTCAAATTATTACCGATGATTCCGAAGAGGAGAAAGAGGCGAGGAAAAAGATGTAAAATTACAAGGTCAGTGATATATTATAATTATCAATTTTTTTTTTAAAGAAAAAAAGAAGGTAGAATGTTACAAAATCTAAGGATAATGAAGAATAATTTTGAAGCTTAAAAAAGTTATAGCGGCAACCTGGTGTATTCTGGTATAAGAATCGCAATTTTTTCTTGTTATTCTACTAGTTTTTAATTTTGTAAAGTATTTATTTTAAAATGTTAAAATTTGGTGCTTAACTGTAATAATTGTAGTATGATATTTTCGCTACAAAGTAACTATAAAAGTTTTTGCAATGAAATATAAATAAACAAAAATCGGAAATTACTTTTAGTATCTAAAATAATTGTTCCTTATTAACGCGTGATATTAAAATTTTACCTAGCTTCCATATAATTTTTAATATATTTGTAAAATGTATGGGGAGTTAAGATTTTAACAAGTTTTTTTTCATTGAAGTAGGTAAAATTTTAATTACTTTAACTAAATTTTATTGCATCTGAGTTTTCAGTTTCAACGTAGGTTTTAATAAATTTTTCTGGTTGTTCCGGAAAATTTTTTTTTTATTAGTTAACAGAAATAATTTGCAAGTTGTTCCAGCAAAAATTTTAATTATTTGAAATAAAATTTTAATAGCTTTTTGAATAAACGATTTTAATTGTTTTAAACAAACTATTACAGTTAAATAATAAACAATTAATTGTCTCAGATAAATGATTACAATTGTTTCAAACAAACTGTTAATTATTTCAAAAAAACTTTTAGTTGTTTCAAATAAACTTTAAGTTGCTTTAAATAACTGTTCAGTTCTTTCAAGTTAATACAATTAAATTGTTTCAGTTAATTTTTCAATTGTTTGTATAACTAAAAATTTGTAGTTCACATATTTATTAAAATAAATTCAATTTTTTTAGTTGTAATTAACATTTAAGTTATTTTATGTTCAAGTTATTGCAGATAAAAGTTTAATTGATTCAGTTAAAAGTTTAAAGTATTGCTTTAACCTAAGTAATTTTATGTGTGATGTGATAATTTTCATTTTTAAAAAAATATGGTAAAAATTTTTTTATTGAATACTTTATTGTAGATATTTTAAAAATAATATATAATCATAAAATATCAAGTTAATAATACATTTTTTCTCAAAATTATTGAGGAACAAATTTTTTAACCCTTGACAGACGCAGTTTTATAGAAATCAATTCTTTGAAACATGTAAAAAATTTGGAAAAAATGAAAATTTACAAATTCAATTACTCTTTCTTAATAATTGAGAATGTAAAAATTTATTTAAAATCTATAAATAACTAAAAAATATATTTATACTTTTTACAAATTTTATAGTTTGTAAATTGAAGTACGATCTCTGTTAGAAATATGATTTAAAAAGTTCAACTAAATTTTATGACGCTTTCCATTTAACTATACAAATAAAAAAAAATGAAATTTTTTAAAAATCAAAAATAGAACAATTTTTAACATTTAATTTTTAAATGTGAATAAAATTTTTCGAAAGTTTTAAAAATTTGTTGAATTTTCCAAAATCTCTGACAGTTTCATGAAATAATTTTAATGAATGTATATATATAATTACACAATATATAGGTGTGCTTAAAGAAATTATTTTTCTATACACAAATTATAGTTAAAAACTAATGATTTTAAAATTAATTCTCCGTAATAAATAGAATATTATTTAAAAACAGGACAAAAAAACTTTAGTAAAATCTTAAAATATAGATTATTTTTCAAATTGAAAATAATCAAAATATATGGAGTATATTTTGAAATAATATTTATAATTATAATAAATATAATAAAATTAAAAACAAAACAGAAAAGTCTGATATAAGCGAAGTAGAAACTAATTTTACGTTAAAAGAATATGAAACAAAAAAATATTTCAAAAAAAACGAAACCACCTTTTCACAGTGTGTTTTGTGAAAAAAAACTCATTTTTTCAAAATATAAATACAAAAATTTAATATAATTATATATAGTGAATATGTAAAATGCTATTTCTGATGATGTGAACAATTTTGTACTTAAAAATAAATTATTGTTACAGAACAAATTATTTTACTATTTTTATAACCATAGACTATAAATTATAATATGAATATGACGATGATCAATAAAAGATGGAACTTATTTGTAAAATTACCCATACAATAATTCCAAAATGACTCATTTTCATGACTTATTTCCATGTAATCTTATATCATATACAAATCATATTTATCTTGAAGTATTATTTTATAATTTTTTAATATTTATAAAAATTCTTACTGTCAATTATGCTTCCAACTATTGTTACAATAAAAAAGAAAAATATTCTTCATTTGAGAGGAGGTTTTCATTTCTAATACTCTCTTCCATTTTATATTTAAAACGAGACTATTGCTCTTTAAACTGATTTACTTATTTAAACCGATCTCTTATTTTAAGTGGATAAAAATAATAATAGGGCTGTATCACTTGACACAAACAAATATTTCCTTATATCAAATAATGTTTGTTCAAGTCAATTAAATTATATTTGTTTCAATAAAATTATTGGATCAAATACAGTTTAATAAAAAATAGTGAATTCAATAATTAATTAATTTAATAATTCAAAAAAAAAAATGATAAATATTTATTTGATAATAGTCATGTAATCGATTATTTGAATAAAATAAATTTTTCTTCCAGTATATTGTAGAGAAAAAATTACATAAAAAAATAAGAGAAATTCTCTCAAAGAATAATGTTTTTTTTCAGTGATATAACGCTAAAAATTCGCTGATAATTTAATTAATATTAATAAACAATCAAATTTCAATTTTCTCCGTTCTTTATAAGGAAAATAATTATGTAACATTTAAATGCAATTAATCTGTACAAATTGTGATACCATTTTCAAAGTAAACTTGTTTGTGTCTATGTATATATTTAAATACGTGAAAATCAAGTACTTGAGCGATACGTTTCAATTAAATCTCGTGATCTAAAGTAGAACCTAATGGAATAATCGTGCGCGGTTATTTTAATGTATATTCACTCTACAGTGAAGAAATTGGTCCTTCGTCCCTTTCATTTTCTCTCGAAGGAGCTCCGCCTCCTTCAATTATATACTCTTGAAACATAAACGCATAGTTCCCGTGAGGCGGAAGTCTCGAGTTTGATAATAATTGTATCACACCGATCCTTCGCCATAGAGGAAAAGCCGTGTGCGGTACTGTGGTGATAATAAAGTTTTTATGTATTTTTGTCGTCAAACAAATTTTTTTTTTTTTTTTTAAGGAACAATACACTCATTAATGTCACACTATATTATTATTATAAATGAGAGTATAATGTTGTTACATCATTGAAAGTGAATCGTGAGACTTCTTATATATATATAGCATTTCACGATATGATTTCTATTTTGTTTCCTTTACACTTTTTTTTATTATTTATTTACGACTCTCCTTTTAATAATGCTGATGTGAAAATTGTTTAATATACACAAAAGAAAAAAAAATTGCTTTTCTTTTCTTCCCTCTATCTTTATAGAAGCAAGAAAAAAGGGGAGAAACTTCACTAATTATGAGCAGAAAATTTTAGTTTATTAGTAACTATTTTTTTTTTTGTAGAGGAAAGTTGTCTTAAATTTAGAGTCCTATTAATTTTTCCATTTGCTCTCAATTTAAGAGGACACTTTTTTAATATCCCATAGTGATGAGAAAAAATTTAACCACAATTGAGAGGAATTCTCCTCCGAGTATATTTTTTTACCTCCCTGAAGTTGGCTTCGACGCTAAGCGCCGAAAATTGTTTTTCGCAGAATAAAAAATATCAAAACATTTTTTAAAAAGGTTTTTGGTCCACACAATGCCTTGAGAAGTATTTTTCAAGGTATTATTTGAATTGAAAAATTAAAAAAAAAATAATTTGAAATTTTTCATTCTGCAAAAAACAATTTTTGGCGCTGAGCGTCGAAGCCAACTTCAGGGAGGTATTTTTTTCGGTTATATTCAGAAATTTTAAAAATAAAGTTTGTTTTAAAAATATTTTAACTGACAAGGGATGAGCCAAAAGTTTTAAACGTTCAAATGAACGAAATTTTTTTTTTGCAACTTCATTGCGTACGAATTTTATTACAAAATATTGTTTTAATTTACACTGCAATCATATTTTTTGAAAATTTATAGATTGAAAAAAATATTTCGTTCATTTGAACGTTCAAAACTTTTATCACGCGAGTGAAGTATACACAACTTTTATGATAAACGATTTTTAAAGAAATAATTTTTTAAAATGAAAAATTCTGTAATTTTTTGCCTAAAAAATATTTCTTGTAGTTTTCATTAATCAACAAATTATAAAAAAAAATATTTTTTAGGAAAAGAATTATAGAATTTTTCATTTAAAAAAATTATTTCTTTAATAATCGTTTATCATAAACATTGCGTATTTCAACTCTCTGAAGTTGGCTTCGACACTCAGCGCCGAAAATTGTTTTTCGCAGAATGAAAAATTTCAAATTATTTTTTTTTTAATTTTTCAATCCAAATAATACGTTGAAAAATACTTCTCAAGGCATTGTGTGGACCCAAAACCTTTTTAAAAAATGTTTTGATATTTTTTATTCTGCGAAAAACAATTTTCGGCGCTTAGCGTCAAAGCCAACTTCAGGGAGGTCGTATTTCAGCTTCGTCTTTTGGCTCATAAAAAAGAACATTAAATTTTTTTCATGAAAACTCCCTATATGCTTTTCACTAACTATGTAAAAGTTTATATGAACTTTAGTAGTTGATAAAAATTATTCTCTTTTCTTCTTTGATTAGAATTTAAGAAAATAAAAATTGTTGTAAATATACAGGAAACAAAGGCACAACTTATTGTTATTTAATTGGATCAACGTCGAGAATCGTGGATCTTTTATAAACTTAATGAATTTATAAAGTGACAACTTCCGCGTGTTTCTTCGTGGACTCTCGTTTACAATCTAATAAAATTGATTCGACGTTAGTTCAAGTCACGTATATCTAGTATAATCTAGTTTGATCGAATACCTGAATAATAATTATTATACTGTATAGAGATAAATATATATATAGCATACATGTAAAATAAACATATATATATATATATATATATATATATATAGGCGCGTGCTCGCCTCTCTGTCGAAATAAAGAAAGAAGAGAGATGGAAAAGATAAAGGAGTGTGAGAATTCATTTCATAAGTCCTAGAGTACCAACGGCAGTATTGGGAATAATAACCTAGGTTGTTGTCGGTAATTAACATCTCATTGCAACACGAAACACAAACGTATTACATTCGAAATACGCGCATTCAGGGCGGAGATCATGGGATTTCATTTTCACAAACTGAAATCTCCCGCGAGAGACATCCAGACAGCGGACATGTCGAGAAATTATATAAATTTATTTATGCCAAACAATAATTTCGTTTCTTTTATAGTTATTCCAAAAGTAAACGAAAAATTCTTTCTCATAGAAAAATTAAATCTTACTAAATAATTTAAAAAATTTTTGTCTTCTATTTCAATTAAATATATATTTTTTTAAAATATTTATTATAAATAAAATTAAATATATATTATTAATTGTAAGTAAAATTGATGTAACACTATTGCGCATTGATATTTTGTCAAAAAATTTATTTTTAAAACATTGTATAATTGAGGAAATTTTAATATGTATACAATTTTACACGCGGGAAAAAATGGAAAAACGAATAAAGTAATTTTTACAATTTTAAAAGTAAAACCGAAAATTTCCACAGTTTCTGAGCATTTCTAGCAATTTTTACTCCAGAAATAGTAAAATTTTATTTTCGGAATAATTTTTACTATTTCAGGAGTAAATTTTACTATTTCTGGAGTAAAAATTGCCAGAAACTGCGGACAGTTCCGGTTTTACTTTTAAAGTAGCAAAAGTTACTTTATTCGTTTTTCTATTTTTCTCCGTGTTGTCAATTTCTCAAACAGACGATTTTTTAAGAATAAATTGACAAAATATTTTTGCGAGTTAACCTGCAGAGAATTTTTACATGTAAAATTACAACAATCGTATATGATCTTAAAATATTCGGTAGCTCTATTGAACAAAAGGAAATTTCAAAATAATTTGTTTATATATATATATATTATTATTGGTTAGAAGTATTCAAAAAAAATACTTGTTCTCAAAAGTTAAAAAAAACTATTTCGAAAAATATTTTGCAGTTCAAAAATTAATTGAAAATACTATTTTTAAATTCTATAAAGGAAGAACAATGTGAAGTTGAAATTGTTATTTTGTTTTAAATTATAATGTATTTTTTTCTCTTTCTTTTTCTCATATATTATTTTGGTAAATAATATATGTATAAAATGACCTTAACAATTTTATTCATGAAAACCTTCATTTTGAAATTTCTCCGCAAATAACCGGGTTTCGGGAAATTACATATATGGTCAAAAGATGCTTGGAATAAAGCTGATGGGAAAAAGTATATATATATATATATACAAGAAGTCATGAATTCTTAATTTTACTTTAAACCGCACAATAATTATTTAATGTATCTCCCCTGATTACTTTCCATCAATTATGCCAATTATCTCTAAAACCATTAAAACCCATTTTCCTATAACGTATATATAAATATAAAATAGTTTTAGAAACATTTTCTTATATATGTGGTATTGCAATTTAATAATAATTTTAACAACGTTTAGCAATATAAACTTTAGAAGAAAATATATATCTGTAGGTGTAATATATATTACAAATAGTAATTAACTTATAAGTTATGCAATAAATATGCAAATCATTAAAGAGATTAATTTCCGCCACTTTGAAATACCCATTCATTAAAATAATGTTATTAGTAATAAAAGTAGAAAAAGTTTTAAATGAATCTAAATATTAAGCTATATTATTCCTAAGAAAAAAAGTACTTTCATATATTATACAAAATTAGTGACCTAACAATTATTAATTTAAATAATGTCAAATACAATATATTGAGAGAAAAAATCTATTTGTCTAAATCTAAAAGCTAAATATTTCTGTAACATAAAATTATATTTACTGTAAACATTTTATTTTATTCAAATAAATTAATTCAATTTTTCGATAATTTAATTAATTTGAATAAAAAATTTCTTTCAATATATACTTTTTGAATAAATATACAATATAGTGATTATTATTAAATATAGAAATAATTGAATCATTAAAATAGATAATATTAGATTTTACTTATTTGAAAAAAGCATATATATTATAGTTTTAACGATTTGCAATAATTTTTTTTAAAAAAATGAGAGATTTTGCATTCTGAAAGTGATGAAGGTCAAGAAGGTCGTATTTACAAGAGTGGAAACAGAGAGAAGAACAATGCCTTCTGATATAGAGTAATAAAGCGATCTTATAGTTCCTATATAAATGCTTCACGAGTACATACAATGTAATGTAATTGTAGAGATAATAACCTACTCTGCATTCGAATCAAGTAATATAACCCATTTCTCACAATTTTTCCTGCTACAGTTAATCGAATGCGATGATGCATAGCAAGCGCCCTTTTATTTTACATAAAAAGTTCTTTTATGGAAATCACTTATATATGTATAATAGTATAATTGGCAATTTATTCACGTTTCGTTCTAGATTTTCCTTTTTTTTTTAATTTGCATCTATAATTTTTTTTTCTTCTGCTTTCTTTTTATTCTTGAAATGAATTTTTATTCAATTCACTTTTTAATAAACTTAACTTAACCTTAAAATGATATGGCCATGCCTGAGCAAACCTAACCTAACTAATCAAAGTTAGCAAATTAAGGTTAATGGTGACCATAACATAACATCAAACTAAAAAATGGTTCTTAACGCAAACAAAAATATAATAAAATGTAATATCAATCAATTTTTAAAAATATAATTGTACATTTTTTAGAAAAAATAATGTTAACTTAAAATATATATATTTTTTTTAAATATTTTAAGTTTTTTCTTTCCGCTCAGAAAACAATCGCATTTTTTTTATAAACAACAGCTTATTTTAATCATTGAAATTTCCTTAGCAATCGTAATGTTTCTAATGTTAAAAGTATTGTTAAAATAATTTATTGAAAACAATTTGATTTGATTATAGTTTTTTGAAGAAAATATTTTTAACAATATTAAAAAAAAAATTACGATTGTGAAGAAATGTTACAATGAGTAAAATAAGCTATTGTTTATAAAAATTGTATATAAGAATTGCAATATTTGTCTAAGCTAAAAGAAAAAAATAAAAATGTAAAAAAATGAAATTATTATTTATCAATATTAATTGATTAAAATTAATTTTTATTATATTTTAGTTCGCGTTAGAAATATAGTTCAAAATCATTTCTACACGTAAAGAAAATAAATATCAAATTTTATAAAAGCATTTTCAAATTTTGTAAAAGTATTTTTAAGTCGTGGAAAATATTGTAAAAAGCGAAATTTCCATATAAGAAATACTAATCTTTAATAAAGTTTTATGAAATTTAGAATAGTTATACTAAAATTTGGTAGAATGTATTTGATTCATTATTAAATAATACTAAGTTTTATTAAATACTGTATAAAGTTTATAAAAGTTTATTAAACATTAGTATTTCTTATATGGAAATTTCGCTTTTTACAATATTTTCTACGACTTGAAAATACTTTTAGAAAATTTAAAAATGCTTTTAGAAAATTTGATATTTATTTTATTTCCTCATAAATTTCTAGTCTTAACAACAATATTGTCTTCAAAGAAATTAATATCAAATAAAAAGAAATTTCACGTGAACCGACTACTTTCACGCCCTTTCGATTGGTGAAATGCATTTTTGAAAAAAAAAATTGCCAAAAAGAAATAAAAATAAAAAAAAATTTGACTTTTTTTTTTAATAAAAGTCACGATTTTTTGTTGAACGAAAGCTGAGGTTTTTTTTCTATAAAGACATAAATGTTATATTTTATTTCATTTATATGTCCCTATATAAGAAAGTACCTCAGCTTTCGTTAAAAAAGTGTCTTTTTTTTTAAAAAAGTCAAATTAAAAAAAAAAATTTTTTTTTCAAAAATACATTTCCTAATCTATTAAAGATGCTTAGCCCATTAACATAAACTGAAACCAAAAAGTTGTTTTTAACAAGAAATAAAACTATAAATAAAATAAATTTTATCAAATTTTAAAAAAATTCAGTTGTACAATTTCCAAATTTAATTATTTTGCACAAAAATTTGTTGTTAAATAATAATTATTTCACTGTTTATATTTTTTGTTTAAAGTTGACGAACAATTGTGATTTTTATCAAGTTTTTACAAACAAATAGCTCATTTTGCTATTTGAAAGATTTTCTAAAATTCTATTCGTTGAATTTTATTAATAAAATATTTTGTTCAAAAATTAATAAAACAAATAAAATAGTTTTATATTTTTAAACAAATCTTTATTCAACATAAAAACAAAATCAGAATTATAGAGAATCTTTTAAAGAGATAAAGATGATGAGCAATTATTTATAAAAATTGGATAAAAATTATAAATTGTTCGCTAATTTTTAAGAAAAAACACAAAATATTTATTAATTATTATTTAACAACAAATTTTAGCTGAAAATAATTTTTTTCTCAAAATTGTACAATTGGATTTTTCGAATTTGGTTGAAATTTTAAATATATTTTTAATTCTGTTAAAAACTAAATTTATTTTTATTTTGAGGTTATGTTAATGTAGGTTAATCCAGTATAGAAAAAGGAACGCGAACTGGAACGTAAGCATGAGATAGAAAAGGACAAACGATGTTTTTTTGTCCTTTTCTACCACATGCTTGATGTATTTCCGTTCTATTTTGCGTTTAGGCCAACGCACAATAGTTTCGCGAAAGTCGTTCGTGAACGAGATGCATGAGATAGAAAAGGATACATATATACTTCTGTCCTTTTCTAACTCATGCTTCACGTTCGCGAACGTCTTTCGCGAAACTATTTTGCTTAGGCCTTTTGCCTTCAATCACAAGAGTTTCTAGCCTAAAAAATTTTTTCATGATAATTTCATAAAAATATACGAAAATCGACTTTAAGTATATATGAAAAGTTTCTTCAAAAGTTCAATATACAAAAAATAATTTTAATTTCTAATAATTAAAATTTATTTGACAATAAGTCATTATTTATCTTGAACTCAAAATAAACTTTTAAATGATTTATTTCTTCTATAGAAAGAAATGAAGATAAAATAATATTAATATATATCGCATTAAAAAGTTATCCTAGATATTTGCGTTTTTATAGGAACGCACTTTCGAAATAAAGTGTCATCGTCAGAAAAGACTTATGAAAAAAAAAATATATATACATACGTTGATTTGTGCTGATGCGTTCTGCTACGGAAGTGGAGTAATTGCATAAGCAGTGTGTCTAGAAAAGCCATAATTATCACTTACAGTCGCAGAGACAGCAATCTACTTTGTAGAACATACAGGAACATTTCCGCCATTTGGAGAACGTCATTGGGCGAAGGTTCACTTATTTTTTCGCTTTGCCTTATTGTCACTTTTTTTCCACTGGAATTGCTCAATTACGACTTTGGTGGTATTCTCTCTCTCTCTTCATGGAAAGTCACTAAGGAGACAATTCACTTTTCTGTATCATGTTTATATTTGCTCTAACAATATATCCTCAAGTACATTCCGGAAGTAACTGAACAAGGTGAAATTCTATAAATATAATGACCATATGCATAAAAGTAACAAATTCCTATATTCGAAATAACTATTTTTTTTTCTTTTCCTCCTTACAGCTTTCATCTGATTAAAATTGAAAAAAGAAAGCATAATTTAATTTTAAAAATAATAAATTAAAAATTCATTTTAACTAGAATAGAAAAATTGTATTTCATTTTAATTGACTTTTCAATGATTGAAATTAAAAAAAATATAATAACTATATCTGAAACAATCAATGGCTCTTTGTTATCTTAGGTCCGATTTTTTTCAGTGCGTAGAAATCCTCAAAATAGATAAATAAATGATTAATAATATTTTTAATTAATTACTGCAAGAAAATATATAAAAGTTCAATAAATTAAAAATTTTTTTTATTAGTATTCTTAACAGGACTAAATAAACATAAATTTCATAAAAAAAAAAAAAAAAAAGAATACATTGGCAAATGATGCAAGGAGTGTGATTCATGCTAATAAAGGAGCGTTGTGCTCATTTTTTAATACCTTGAATTTTGCTCGTTGACGATCATTTTTAAATACTTATATATATGCACGTAAAGAGGTTGCTCGTCCAATGTCTATGAGTTATTTTCTTATATTATTATGTGACGAGCTCATACTTACTTTGTAACAATATGTATTTTCGTTCTCACTTCCACCTGTTTTTCTCACGCAATGTTACACTGCGTTTGACTTCTAATTCATTATTCATAAGAAACATTATTCTCATTACGTGATCTTGGTTTTATTGAATGATATCCACGCCCGATAAAATTCTCACGTTCTATTACTATAGATATATTATATGTACATCAGAAGTCAATGAGTCTGAACGAAGGTGACAAGATATTTTCATTCAATCGTATATAATTGAAAAGTAGTTTACATTCACTGCAAAATGTCAAATAACTAATCAAAATTTTTACGAAAACGATAACATATAACACTACCACCATAATAAAGAGCAGAAACACCTAATCTAAAAACACAATCGAGAATTTATATCGAAATAAAGCTGCTTCTACAACGACTTTTTTTCGACTTGTCGACACGGAAAAAAAAACTTCATTTTTAGGGCCAACGCACAATAGCTACACAAACTCGAAAGTCGTTAGCAAACGATGAGCAATACGTTAGAGAAAGACAGATATATATTTGTGTCCTTTTCTATCTCATGAACTACTTTCGCGAAGCTAGGTTGGTTTCCATTGTTCCCATTCGTCATTATTGTCATTTAATTCTCGTCAACTACCTAGTGAAAATTTATTGACTTTATTGTTAAAATTAAAAGTCACTAAATTATCACTAGAGCAAGATGCGGTAGTTGAAGAAATTTATGACAAATGGCGAGTGGGGACAATGGAAAACAACCAATAACTTTCGCAAAACTGTTCTGCTTTGGCCTTTACGTTTGCGAACGTGAAATATAAGTTTAAAAAAGGACAGAGATATATTTGTGTTCTCTTTTATCGTATGCATCTCTCTTTCGAGAACCATTGTATCGTTAAACAGAGTTTGAATTTGGAAGTTATGCGTAAGGCTGATTCCACAACAGGCAAAATCACATCGTCTTGAAGACGATTTTCATGACAAAACGATGCGCGCGCATGCTTTTTCTGTTGTCGACAAACTTTTTGTTTTGAAAATAGGCCTAAGCAGAATGAAACCTCTAATCGATAAATCTTATCGCTTTTACATGAGAGAGAAGAGGATAGAAATTGGGATCAGAAATCACGCAAAACTGACCCACCCCTGAGCCTTCTTGTGACAACCATCTTGGTTTTTTATCTCTTTCTTTTGTATATGTTAGAGAAACACGGAATGAAAACATGGCCACCACAACAAGGCTCTCACCAGATGGCGTATCGCAGTATTTCAGATCCCAATATCTTTTGTCCTTTTCTCTCCTATGTAGAAGCTTAAGATTTACGATTAGAGATTTCATTCTGCGTTGGCCTAATCATCTTCAAGACGATACGATTTTGCCTATTGTGGAATCAACCTAACTCTAATGGAGCATTTAAGGTGCTTATATATCTCAAATTTCGATCAGATGAACATTATTTCTGGACCGTGAAAATGCGTGAAAAGTCATTTTCACGGCGGGTATTTTTGAATTGTTTTAAACAAAAAATGTTTTTTTTAAGAAATATAATATTAAATAATTGTTTTAGTATGTAAGAACACTTTAAAATAATGATAGAGAGATGATTTGATTAAAAAATTTAGCAAATTTTGCTTTAAAACGTTTTCTGCTACAAGAAAGTGTAAAATGACGATGTTTGTGAAATGGTTTGTACAGTGTACATGTGTACATGTTTCTTTCAGTTATTCGAAACAATTAGTTGAATTTAAATTTATTTGATAAACATTTCAACTTACCGATTTATTTTCAGCACTCATTATTTATTACAAGTTAAAAAGAACCGACATAACATAAACAAAACTCTGAGAGACACTAACAAGGAAGAAGCACTGCACTGTACAAACCATTTCACAAACATCGTCATTTTACACTTTCTTGTAGCAGAAAACGTTTTAAAGCAAAATTTGCTAAATTTTTTAATCAAATCATCTCTCTATCATTATTTTAAAGTGTTCTTACATACTAAAACAATTATTTAATATTATATTTCTTAAAAAAACATTTTTTGTATAAAACAATTCAAAAATACCCGCCGTGAAAATGACTTTTCACGCATTTTCACGGTCCAGAAATAATGTTCATCTGATCGAAATTTGAGGTATATAAGCACCTTTACACCTTTGGTAAAAAAGTTTTTTTTACTTTGATTTTCCGAAATGCAAAAATCTGATTGGTTGTCCAATATCAAATGCTCCATAAAATTTTCTCAATAAAAATTACATTTTCTACGTATTTTACGTAAAATCTGTAAACAACCTGTGTCATGGCAACACGTGTATTAGAAAAGGACAAAAATTTGCAGGCATATCTGGCCACGAGTGTACGGTTTTAAATAAAAATGTGTATTAATAAATAACAACAATGAATTTACCACACATATAAAAGTCATTTCTTCAATTTATTTCTAAATTTGTACATAAAAAACATCCACATGGATATTACATATACATCATTAAGAATCTTAAATTTTTATAAACACAAAGAATAAATAAAATCTACAAATATCTTAAAAATGCATTTATTTTTAAAATATTTGATCTATGCACATATATCAATAGAAAGTATAATTAAATCTAACTTATAAGAGTTATGAATAAACATTAAAAATATAATTTTTTTTTTTAAACTCAAATACTAGAATAAAATAGAAATACATAAAAATAAATTAAATCTCTCAGTGCAATTACTTACACTTAAATGCATTATGTATACTAACAAATGATTTGTTTAATAATATTAATAAATTATGCGGAGAAAAAATGTATTATATTTGGAATAAAGAATAAATTAATTATACGCGGATATATTCTATTGAAAATAAAAAATAAAATATTAACAAAAAATAAAAATTATGGTTTTCAAAGAGAAAAAGGGTTTGGATCTCCTTCTATAAAGGAAACCTGTAATTGTGAAGCTTATAAAGGTATATATGATAACATTATAAATCATTGGTGGAAAAAATCACAAACGATTTATTACTTCCGGAATAGGTGGAACCTCGTAATCAAAATGCTATCTTAAAAATATATAAACTTTCTTTGGAACTAAAATATTTTTTCACACTTATATATATATATGTATATATCACTGACATTTTGTTTCTTTAAAAAAAAAAAAACTACAAATAAGACAATATCTTCCTTCAGCCGGAGAATTTTTTTTGTTAGTATTTTTATTATCATAATATTATTATTATTATTTGTCTCAAATGTATAAAATAACTATTTGTTTAAAATGAAAAATATAGTTTAACACAAATAAAATTTCATATATGATGAAAATAACATTTTTTGATCAATACTGAAGTCCATAAAGTTTATGATCAACGATTAGAAAACAAACTATCTTTTAAAATAGAAAATTGTAAAAACATGTTTTCTAAAAAAAATGCTTTTTATATTTTTTTTATCAATAAATATTGCAAGAAATATTTTAAAAATGAAAATTCAAAGATTTTTTTATTTAAGAAAATCAGACGGAGCGCATAAAAATCACGAAGCTGAAGTAGGTACGCAATGTTTATGATAAAAGATTTTTAAAGAAATAATTTTTTAAAATGAAAAATTCTATAATTTTTTGCCTAAAAAATATTTCTTGTAGTTTTCATTAATCAAATATTTTTTAGACAAAAAATTATTGAATTTTTCATTTTAAAAAATTATTTCTTTAAAAATCGTTTATCATAAATGTTGCATATTTCAGCTTCGTTAAAAATCATTAGATATAGAATTTGAATTTAATTTGAATTTAATTTTAAAATTAGTTTTATTTTATATTTTTTATTTTTTCTAAATTACAAATCACGATTTTCTTGAATCGATTAAATTAGAATTCGACTAAATAAAAATAATGCATAACAAGAAATGCTGTAAAAAAAAGAATTCTGGCAATGAAAAGTTTGTCACCTAAAAATTTGGTAGAGTAAAAATATATTTAAAAAGAAATTCTGGCAAATGACAATTCGAAAAATAAATATTCTTCTAAAAAATAATTATAAACTAATAAAATTATTGAAAATAAAAATTCTGATGATTTTAATGGAAAAATCATTTATAAAAAAAAATTTCCTTCCGCCTAATAATTCAGATTTATTAATTAATAATATTATTTTTCTTAATTTAATAACTAGTCATTACTAAATTTCTTTAGTTTCTTAAAATTTACTCTTCTATTATTAATTTTCTTACAAATATATATATATATATACTTTATTAAAATAAAATTTAAAAATTAGATTATCTAAAATTCATCTAAAAAACCAATTTTATCGCTTTTATTTACATGTTCGAGGTTATTATAATTTGTTTAAAAAAGTTTTTACCTTATTTTAAAATTTCAATTATTACTCGTGGTAGCTGAGATGGTCGAGTGAACGGAAACAGATCCAAGACCGTCTTTCATACTTTCAGCGTCCTCGTCATGATTGTATGGATCTAAGTATGGCTCAGTTTGTACTCCAACATCCTCGTAATCAAGTTCGAGGGTGTCTTGTTCATAAATGACGTCGTGACTTCGTGGTCGTGCAACAGAAGGTATCCAGGGTTGGGGCACTCCTTTTCCAAGGGCCAAGAAAACTGCGGCTGTTGTTAATAAAACGACAGATGCCACACCGAATACCAATCGCCAAGAACCTGCGATCTAACAATCATAAAAAAAACATCTGCAATTATATATACTATTCATAAAAGAATAACAAAACTTATGTCTTATTACAAAAAAATTTACAAAAATATTTCTTCTCTACTTTTGTTCAGAACATAAATTATAATTTTCTCCACATCTTTTATTAGTATTATAATTATATGAAAATATTAAAGAACAAAAATTAAATTTAAAAAATGAATGTATTTTTTGTTAATATAATTTTTAGAATATAAAATTCATTAATCATGAATTTCATTCTGTTTAGACTATTGAGATGAAAAATATTGTACATACTGCATTAAACATTCACTTCTTTTATTTTTATTTAATTTTAAATAAAATTTGAAAAATTAATATAAAAAATATTATAAAAAATTTAATTTTTTTATAATAATATAATTTATTAATCCAATATTCCAAATATAGAAATATTTTACAAATAATTAATACGTAAATAAAAAAGTGGATACAAATTATACACAATATTCTATTAGAAAACTCGATGCTTATCATTTAAATGTATAGGTATATAATACCATTTCCCTAAGTCAATGTCAATGAAATACCAGTACCATGCACTCATGCATTTTTTATTATTCGTTTAATGACATAATAATATATGCTGATGAAGTTGCAATCTAATTTACTCTTAAGTGGTGTAGATATAGTGTTTACCGTCTTTATACAAGATCTATGCGAATTGTGTCATTATTTATTCCACATAAATAAAAAAAAGTAAATACTTCAAGTGAGTGGAGGGGATTTAGTTTAATTTCGAATATAAAAAAAAATAAAAATATGTAAAATAAATATAAAATTTTAAAAATAAAAATAAAAAATTAATCTAATAAAAAAATATTATTATAATATTTATATAATTTTGAATAATATACTTATAGATAAAGAATATAATAAAAATATTTATACATGGGGGATCCATGCCATCCCAACTTATAGTTCACTTTGACAAATTTTTATTTAACTTAAATTTTTTTATCTTCATTTACTCTACAAAAAAGGATTCAATGATTTTTTTTCCAATTTTTGTCATCAAGCCATTTAGAAGAGATAAATTTATTAAAATTTCAAATTTTTGAAAAAAATTTGTTTTTTCTGTATGCTCATAGGTTTCTAAAAAATGCATCAATTTTTATTTTTTGAAACAGTGTCTTTTTTGAATGAAAATTTTCAAAAAATTATTGAAAAATAATTTAGAAAATTTTTTCCAATTTAAAGATTAATATCTTATTTTCAAAAACCTGTTTGTATCCTTTTTTTTTTTAATTTTCCCAAAAAAACAACTTCATTTAACAAAATTTTTGAGTCAAGTCCCGACGTAGGGACTAAGTATATTTATGTAATTTAATGCGCTGATTACGAAAAATATATTGAAAATATCACCAAAATTCATAGTTTCTCGCATTTTTTGAATAAAATATGCAACATTTTTTAAATATTTTTAGACGAAAGTTGTAGATTGCATTGATCTATATTTTTATCTCCAATCCACTTTTTGAAAATTTGATTTTCATGATGAAAATAAAAAAAAATATATACCCGATTATTTAGTCTCAAAATTTCTTTCTGTTAGTTTTTAAGGTTTTTTTGCAATTTTACTTGTCCGTAAAATATTGAAATAAATAAATATTTAAAATTTATTGTTTTTGTTTTGGTAAAATATAAAAAATTTTCAAAAAGTGTATATATTTTTAAAAATTCCGAAGAAATTAAAAAAAATATTTCCTCTCGACGGGACTGGGCTAAAAATTTTTGTGAAAACATTAGTTTCCTGAAAAGTTTTTTTTTTAAAAAAAAGATCGAAAGAAACCAATAGGTTTAAAAATAAGATTTTAATTTTTAAATTGCAAAAACTCTAGTAAACTATTTTTGAATCATTTTTTTTTGCATTTAATTAAAATATTAAATTAATTCTAAGAAAAAAAATTCAAAAAAAAAATCCGAAATTTTGAATTATTTATATCTTGTAAACGATATGATAAAAAAAAAATTGAAAACAATACTGGATTCATTTTTCAAAGAATACAAAAATATAAAAAAATATCCAAATCAAGAAAAAATGCAATAAACTTTTTTCAATAGAACCAAAAAATATGAGATTTTGAAAATATTTCGAAAGACACTAATTACGCATAGCAAAAGTTTTGCGTCGGTTTTTTCAAAGCTATTTTTCAAGATAAATCAAATCAAACTTTCTTTACTTTTGGGTCTATATTGGCAATAAAAATTAGTTGGCAACGACTTTCGTCGAAATATAATGCATTGACTCTGAAATATTAATAATTATATATATAAATTACAAATGAATGAGTATTGTTTATATATAAATATTATTTGAAACTTACAGATCCGTGAAGAGCTTGCGTGACAAAATAATTGGCAGCGAGTAAACCAGCCGCGCCTAGGGTGGAGCAAAGTGCACATGCTGCAGCCGCACATGCCGGTGATTCCGCAGGCGCAAGATCGGCAATTGCCGCTAATGCACCCGCTGGAGCGGTACCTGATACCAAAAGTGCTGCAATTCCCAACCAGGCTGCTCCTAAGGCCTGACAACCCGCGTAACCAGCCACAAATAAGAGGGCGGCCGGAATGAAATGCGCTAAAAAAAAACAAAAATTAATTATTTTATATCATTATAAACCTCACATTTAACAAAATTTAATTATATTCAATTTTAATTTCATTATAAAATCGACATCATAACGATTATAAGAAACCCACCTGAATTTTTGTAGATCAAACCAAAATTATAAATTTAGTACGTAATCTTAATTATTTACGTTATTTTATTTTTTAAAATTATATTTAATAAATTTTATATTAGGTATTTTATTATATGATAAATATTATTATTATATTTATATGTTTGAATTAAACTATAGGATCCAAAATATATTTACCGGAAGTGACCAGTGAAATTTTAACACTTTAAAATTAACGTTATTGATATACGCTACTTTTTTTCCGTCATTATTTTAGAATCTAGAAAGTATTATAAATTATTGAGATAAAAAAAAATTATTTTTAACCATTTTAGAATTTATTTTTTAAATTAAAAGAACCCATACGATCCAGAACTATAAACAATAAGTACCTATGAAAACCTATGATATTTTAAATTCGAATAAATATTTTTTTTTTCGTTCTTTGCAGAAAAAAGTTGTATACATATTTTTTAATTTTGTTATATGTGTCCAAATTTTTGAGTTATGAATTTTTAAAAATCTATAGCTACACCAATGTAGACCTAATTTCAATGACATTTAATTCTAAAAGTATTAAATTTAGGAATTTTTGCCATGAGTAAAAAAAGTTTCATATTTTCGTCGACTTTCGAAATTCTAACGAAATTTTTTTTTTTTTTAATTTTTCTACAAAAAATAACGATTTTTTATAGACAAATTAATTTTTTTAAACTTTGTCCCCGATTTTTTTTTGCTTTTTTTTTATTTTTACATACCTGGAAATACTAAGAATATTTTGCAAAAAGTTTTAGAGTGGGTCTGATAATCTTTTTTTGTTAAAATAATTTGTTTAAAAATTATCTTCATCTTTTTTTCTATTTTTCAAAATAAAATGCATTTTATTTTGCTTTTCTAAGAATAATGTGAAAGATACTTGTGGATAAAAACTTTTTATTTTTAAAAATAAAAAAAATACAAAACAAAAAAATTTTTTTTAAACAAATTGAACGAAAAGGATCATTAGGCCCATTTTCTAAAACTTCTTGCAATTATTCTTGGTATTTCCAGGTATGTAAAAATAAAAAAAAATCGGGTCCAAAGTAGAAAAAATTAATTTGCTTATACGAAATCGTTATTTTTTATATAAAAATTAAAAAAAAAATTTCGTTAGCATATTTCGAAAGTTGATGAAAATTTGAAACTTTTTTTCTCTAAATAGCCTAAAGCACCTATAAATAGCATAAACGATAGATTAAAATTTCACTGGTCAAATTTCACTCATAAACAAAAAGTTAAATATAACTCCGATAATAAATTACTATAATTTAATATACTATATATATATAATATTTTTATAAAATTATAAAAATTGTATTTAAAAAAGAAAATAAAATTATATTACCAAAAATGTAGAAAAGAAAATAATTTTTCTCCTACCAGTGTAAACGACAAGTTTCCTCGCTGTTGTCGTTGATACAATCTTAGATTCTCTAACATGATCAACCAAAAGACCACATGTTAAGGCAGCCAAAAAGTGACCAATATGAGGTAAAGTCGTTAGCACCGAGTCCTGCATCAAGAAAAAAGAAAGTAAAATATATACGCCAAAAAATTATCAAGCAACATAATTGTATGCGATTTATTTGTCAAAAACGAGAAAAAAAAATGAATAGAAGCGATTTGGTCGCGTGGGTAAAACAACGTGGGAAAACGAAAACTTAAGGAACAATGTTCCACAAGACAGCATAAGATAGGAGATTTTAAATTCCTCCTGTTGTTTATAGAAAGTATATTGTAAAACATATTGATAGACATGAAGCACCGCCCGCTATTTTATGGGTATACATATCACTACACGCTTTGTGAATCACAAAATACTCATTGTTTAGATTTTTTCATTCTTTCTTTTTTTTGGCGAAATCTTAAAATTTCGTAAAATAAAAAAATTATAAATCTATTTTATTAAAAATTCACTTACATTTGCAGTCGAAAATCCATAAATAAGTTTAAGATACTTGGTCATACCAAGGGCGAGTGTAGCGTCACCCCATTGATTACCCATTGTAGCAACAGCCGATGCCCAAACTGGAACGGATCTCAAAAGTTTTCCCCAGGGTATAACTGCTGCCTATAAAAAAAAAAATTATTTTTTATCTTCCGTTAAATTACAAATATATTTTCATTTTTTAAGGAATGTATAATTTTTAAATAAAAGACAAATCTCAACAAGTTGAAAAAGTTACTAGATTTCATTTCTCTCCCACCGTCAGCGATTTTATTATTTCAATTCCATGTAGATAAATTTTTTACTTTAAAAAAATAACCAATAAAATTGCTAATTAGAAATGAATTATAATGAATATTAATATTAAATATAACACTTACATTGGTATCGTGCTGATAGGATCTTGGAAAATCTTTAACAAAACGACCAAACAAAAAATACCAACATAGAGCCAAAATGGCAAGACAATAGCAAAGTGAGTCTCTTCCAAATGATCTAACAACTGCCGTTCCAATCCATCCAGTTAAACAATATCCCACACTAACAGCTGTAATTAACAATTTTATTTATTTAAAAAACTGGAACTTAAAAAAGAAAATTTATTTAATAATAAATGTGATAATAATAATAATAAACAAAATAATTAATAATACATATATAAATAATAAACTTATTAATGCACAGATAATAAAATTAACAATACACGAATAATAAAATTAATAATATATAAATATTAAGATTAATAAAAAATTGAACTATACCTGCGTAACAACTAAAATACCAGCTTCTATGTGTGCTTTTAAACCAAGTCATGGCAAGCATATGGGCTGCAGGCATTGTTGCGCCCTGAATAAATAATTTTCAAATATGTTTTAATAACCCCATTGATTTGCTTAAATATGAAATTATTATTAAATTACAACCGACAGTTTTAGTTTTACACTTTTTGTTTTCTAACGATAATATTAAAAAATATATATACTAGCTTTGAATATAAAGTTTTGAACCTAGCGCGCCATATAGAAGGACAGTAGAGGGGATAGCATAGAAAGAATAATCACTGAGCGCTATCCCCACTCTTTGCTTATTGCGCGCGCAGCACGAGAAGAATGGGGATAGCGCGCTCTATTCACACGCTCAACGTGAAAAAAAATTAAAACAACGCCTGTATGATGAATAAATAATTTTAAAAAATTTCTTTTTTTTCTAAAACTAGAAATGCATTTAAACAAGAATTATGGGGAGATTCATAGCGATAGAGAAAAATGAATAATTAAATTTAAAAAATAAACATACGGTGCAAAGCCCTTGTAAAAGTCTCAGGGCAACATGAGAGGGTCCCCTCCATGCAGCTGGTACTAAAAGTGAGGCAAGACAAGCGCTGAGAACGGCACGAGAAAATACCATTGACGGTCCTGAACGTCCCCAAACTAGACAGCCTCCCAATATCGGTCCAGCAACTTGGCCCCATAAAAATGCTTCCCGCATGTTGGACTCTGCTCGTTCCTCTGGGGGCATCTTAACGGTATTTACATTGACTTTTTAAAATATTAAAATAAAAATACGATTACTGCAGACAAATATATCTGCCTAATTTATTATTATTAATTAAAAAAATTTTCTTTACAACAAAATTTTATGATACACATTATTATTAATTAATACTATATAAATTATTTTTTTACCATTTCCCGACAAAAAAATTATTGAGCTAAAATTTTGTTGTCAAATTATATTTTTAATTTTGTGTTTTTTTATTTAAAGTTAGTGAACAATTTTTATACTTATTTTTCTCTTTGGAATATTTTTTTCAAATCTATTATTACTATTTGTTATATAATATTTACTTTAAAAAATACAAAAAAAATTTATATTTGATCAATAACTTTTTAACAAAATTTTGTTAATAAAAATTAACAAAGAAAATTGTCGAGATTTAAATTAAAAATATTTAAAAGGAAGTCCACTTAATTTTAGAATAAATGACAAATGTGGAATAATTTATTATCTTATCGCAATGGTGTCTTAATTAACGTGTGAAAGAAAACAATTTATTAATGCAGTGGAATGATTGACTTTTACTAAACAATAGACTGTATACAATTATTTAAAATTTTTCCCATACCTATTTTTTTGCAAAAATTTGTTAACAAAATTTCATTCATTCATTCATAAAAAATATTACAATATTTTTTTATTTACGATAAATTTTAATTAGATAAGAGTTTCTCAAATGGATCACTTAAAATAAAAATATTTAATTGTGGATGTTAAATATTTTTTTTTACTCCTACTGTTATTAAAATCAGTTTCTGAAAATATTATTAGACTAAACTTTTTTGAGTTATTCACAAGATATGAAAATGCTACTTTTGTAAATATTAATCTAGACCTATTTTCAATGGTTGATAACTCGAAAAAAAAATGGATTTTTTCAATTCTTGCCATTAGAAAAAAAGTTTCAGTTTTTCTTTTACTTTTTAATAATGTTAACCAATTGTTTTTTTATTTTTTATTAAAAAATAACAATTTTTTATAAACAAATTAAGTTTTTTTTAATTTGGATATGATTTTATAAACACTTTTTAAAAAATGTTTATTAAAAAAAGAAAAATTTATTTGTAATAATTTTTTTGAAATAAATTAATTAACTAAATTTTTATTATTATTACTATATATGTGTTAAACCAAGTCCAGTCCTGAGCTGAAGCTTAATAAATTGATTAATTTACTAAATTTTTTTACATGTAACTTGTAGTTTTTCAAAAATTAACTTGTATTCATTGAATTTTTTTTTGTTTCTCTTTATAGAAATAAAAAAAAAAATAAATAAAATTCCAAAAATAAAGTATCTATAATAGACCTACTTCCATTTGAATGAATCCAACATCTTCGGTTCTATTTCGGCTGCTAATATTAACGAGCATATCACAATGCCATGATGTATCGATGATGGCATGATTATCTTTTTGATTCGCTAGCAAAGCAACAGATGAACTGACTTCAACTGCACCTGAAAGGGCGAATCCAATTGCTACAAGAGTAGCTACTATATGTCGAGCACGTACTGCAGCTGAAAATTAAAAAAAAAGTTCCCATTTATTCCATGTGTATGTAACAAAAAAAATCATTTAAAAAAAACGAAATCTTAAAAAATTTATTTTTAGTTTTAAAGATAAAAAACGACTTGTTGCACTTAGAAAAAAGAATTCTTAATTTGACTCTCCGCGACAAAAAAGTGCTTTAAATCCATAACTTTACGTTGTTTTTAATTTTTTGGGCTGAAAATACAAAAAACAAGTTGTAAATTCAGATGTTCATTACATGAACATTTTGCTTTCTCTTTACAATCAGCAAAAAAATTTGCTTCCTCGTGGACAATTGATCTCATATAACATGTTTCTATAAAGAAAAAAATTTGTTTCCGCCACTTTGAAAAGTTTTATAAACGAAAGGACTACAAAGCTTCCTCCACGAGGAAGCAAAAGATCAACTCTTTTTACAAACCGTTGATGTTTTAGTTTTTATTAAATTCAAAATATTCAATAAAATCTATTTTTGATTTTGACTAATTAAAAAATAACTTTTTATTGAGATAAAGCTATTAGTAAACATAACCTAAATTTTTTGGAAGCTATGGTAAGTTGTCGCGGAGATCTGTTTGGACGATTTTATTTTTAATTTAACACAGTTTAAGTTTTATTTTAATATATGAAAAATATCTTTCACTTTCATTTAAAAATATTATTTGTTCGAAAGAAAATTATAATAATGTTCAATTTTAACATAAGGGTTAGTTTCGATTGGGTGCATGTAAATTTCCACTGGAAATCCAGTAGAACGTCCAAAATATGCCGTGATTTTATATATTTGACACTTTCTTTACCCTGCTTTTCCTCTATATTCTAGTTTCCCCACCATGCATCGAAAAAAGCTACCAATCTCTGCAAAATGTCACAATTCAGATGTTTCACTAATTATTTTATATTTATTGTCAACAAGTTTTTAACATGATTTTTAACCTAAAAAATAATTTTTCGTGTATCGTTTGGAGATGATTTTAAGTTAAAGCTTATTGTGTATGTATTAAAATAAAACTGTTTTCTTTATCCAAAGTGCGCAATATATTGCAAATAAAATAATATGCTAGATCAATTATTCTTCGTTTAAATTTCAATATAACGAGAAACTTGGTACAAGACCTCTCTGTATAACGAGAAATGACAAATAACCATTTTCAGAATTTCTACGTAAGTTGTGCAAAACTATGTTTTGAGTCAAAATTTATATATCGAATAATTATTTAAAGTTTTTTGTTTTTTCTCAAAAGTTAGGTATCGCAATTTTTATTCATTTTTTATAGACAAATAGTTCCTTGAAAGATTCTTTTCTATTCTGATTTTATATTTTTATTAAACCTAATGGTTTGTTTAAAAAAAATAAAAATTTTATTTGTTTAGTAACTTTTGAACAAAATATTGTTAATTTTAAAGAAAATTATAAAAAGTAAAATAATTATTATTTAACAACAAATTTTTGCGCAAAATAATTTATTTTAAAAATTGTACTATTGAGTCTTTTAAAATTGGATAAAAATTGATTTTCTTTATTATTAAAAACAACACTGTAAAAAATTTTTCTTGTTCTTATTCACATCTCGGTTTGCATTTATATAAAAATTTGTAAAATTACATTATTCAAAGCAGTTATTTAACTAGTTTGAATGTTGCAGTTTTACAATTTTCTGTAAATTTACCACTTTCAAAGCAGGTAATAATAAATCCAATTATTACCTGTTTTGAAAGTGGTAATTTTATAGAAAATTGTAAAACTGCAACATTCAAAGTAGTTAAACAACTGCTTTGAATAATGTAATTTTACTAAATGTGTTTGACTAGTAAAAATATATTAAGTTTTTAATTAAATATAATATGGTTGAACTAAAAATATCGTTTTCTTAGTGTGGTCCAAATGATTTTTTGAAAATATATCACATTTTGCCTATTTTTATAATTTTATTCCCTAAATTACTTTTTGATTTTCAATTATATTAATGTCATTCTTGAAATGTCTTATATGTAACTTTCCTTATAATGAGTTCAATAAAGTCACATTACCTTGATACACGTGTGTCTGTATTGTTTGCGTTAAATCAGAATTGTTTTCAAAGATTCTGTTATCAAGAATCACAAATAAATGGCTCCAAGTCTACGTTCATTTTTAGAAACGATATATATATGAGTATTTGTCATCTTTGGGATTCATAAATACAAAAGTAAAATTACAAATTTTTTTATCAAAACGGAAAAAAATTTTGACGTTTTTAAACATTTCATATACATATAGAAAGGTACAAAAAAACTCCAAAAAAATCACACTTTTCTATTTTTAGAAAATTGAATTCTATTATTTATTATTATTATTATTATCCATGTTTTGTATATTAGTTATTAATATTTATCGATATTTCTTTTATGTATAAATTAACGGTCTGATGTATTAAGTACCGGAGAATTATTATTATTGATAATTGTGATGCTAAATGATAATTTTTACAACAATATTTTATCAGATACCGAAGATAATATCATTATAGAATATAAAAAATTATGTTCATTAGCCACGTGACAACACTTTTTATCAGAATGCAATTTGTTATACATAAGAAATACTTTTTATCATTTGGCACAACTTTGAGTAACATTATCATCGCTTAGAAATTAATTTTATTTACAATACTTTTTTATTCCTTAATTTTATTGGCTTATTAATCCAATTTTTTTAAATCAATATATGATTTTATTTTACGAACCTCGCACTTCTTTAGCAGCTTGTTTAATTTGTACACTTCCACGTTTGACAAATTGTACACTACCTCTCTTGACGAAGTCAGCCATTTCACAAAATCAAAAAACAAACTGACTAACTATTACATCTCTCTTATCACGATCATGCTATTTGATTCTTGGATCCGTATTATCTCACGACTATCACGAATAAATTACAGGTGGCCTCGACTTTGCTTTGACAAGAATATGATGCAAGATAAGCAAAGACAGTTCAAATTTTATCATTTCTTTTTTCTGACAAAATCTGAGCGTAAATATTCATCATTGTGTATATATATATTGTAATAATAGGAAACGATGTCTCTGATTTGTTATAATTCTTTTAATTGTATTTATGAAACTTTTGATGCTTCAACAAAAAAAAAACTTACCCCTAACTTCACGTGCAGCGAGTCTTAATTGAACGCTACTTCGTTTAAGACGTACAAGTGCCGCCATTTTTCTTAATATTCCTTAAAAATTCGGTTATTTTCACCTTGGAAAAGTTCTATATTTCCGGCACATTTTATAACACAGCACTGACACTGTTAGACAACGAAAAGTGGATCAATCTGTTCTAACCGCCGCGAGAGGACTGGCCATCGAGATTGCGAGTGAATGAACATCTCCGTTAACGAGACTTGATACAATAAGTACCTTAATGTTACGGGTCAGCCTTGACTAGATATGGTACATATATATATAATAAGTATATTATCGTTCATGACGCCTACCTTGCACGATGCGTTTCACACGCGGCATGTAGTCAAATATTTTATAAGTATAATCATTTCATTTTAATAGGCCCCCAAATTTAGACAGATCTGTAGAATTGTATTCAATTGAATTTGACAATTGTAGATGAGAAAGAAAAAATATTCCAGTTCCTTATTTCTATTGTATATACATTTATAATAGGGGACAGAATTAACTACAGATTAACGTAAACTTTTCCATAAGTATTCTACACTGCCGTCCAAAGTAAAAAAGGCATAAACAACAATTTTTGTATTAAACCTTTTTACTTTGTACGGCAGTATATATCTTTGAATACTAATATATTTTGTAATGCATTTTTGGGACTGAAAAATTCATATTTGATTTTGGACGACAATTTTGACGCAAGAATTTAAAATCCCTACAGAAAACAAAACTCTAGTAGAAATTTGTCGTGGCACTACTAGATTTAGTTCATTGTTTTCTCATGTACATTTATTCTTTAGTTCAACTGTAAAATTACTACAAAGTTACTTGAAAAAAAAAATTTCTAGTTGAATTTTATATTTACTATAGCAGATATAATTTCTGTATACCGTTTTTGTAATGGCGTTGATCAGATATTGTATAGAAAAAAAATTTTTATTTTCCAACACACATGAATTTTGAATTAACAAATAGTTATTTTGGTTCTTATAATTAAGACCAGTATAAATTAAAAAAATTTTACAAGACTTTTAAGCAGCTTATAAGTTTTTACGAATGTTTTATTATTTGTAGTTATATGACAACTAAATTTTACACTGAGAAAACAATATTTTTCACTTAACTATATGTTTAATTTATTCAAAATCATCTGCGAACGATACACGAAAAATAATCTTTTAGGTTAAGAATAATATCAAAATATTAGTAACAATATAAAATAATCAGTAGAACATTCGAATTGTGACCCCAGATAGCACATAAGCTTGCAGCAACCTTACGGCAAGCTTACCACAAGCTTCAAATGTCCCACCTGACAGCTTGCATGGTAAGCTTACCGAAAGATTGCAGTGTAAGGTTTCTGCAAGATTGTAGTGTAACGTTACTGCGAGATTGCACAATAAGATTATCGCAAGATTGCTCAGTAAGCTTGTAGCAAGGTTGGTGCAACGTTGCCAAATAACCTTGCTTTGAACTTACAAAATTTTTTTTTAATGTTTCGTCACATTTATATAATTTTATTATATAAATTTTATTATATAAATTTTATTATATAAATTTTATTATATAAATTTTATTATATAAATTTTATTATATAAATTAGACGAAACATTTAAAAAAAATGTAGGTTTTAAAGCAATGTTCTTTGGTAACCTTGCACCAACCTTGCTATAAACTTACCGTGCAAGCTTACTGAGCAATCTTGCGATAACCTTATACTTTATACCATGCAAGCTTGGGTCAGGTGGGACATTTGAAACTTGCGGTAAAGTTGCCATGCAAGGTAGGCAATATTGCGCGGCAAGCTTACGTGCTATCTGAGGCGTAATTCTAGTACGGGCCAGAGCCATAGTGCTTGTGTAAAATAAGTGGAAAAAAAATTATGAATAATATTTTATCCGGCCCACCGCCAATATTTAAATATTAATTTCAAATAAGGCTTAGTTTTATAACAAATTGACAAATATAAATTATTAAGATTTTAAAAACCAAAGAAGTTAAATACATCAAATTTTGAAAAAATAAGAAAAATCCGTGTACATAATCATATTTAATTAATAATTTTCGTTTGGAGAAAAAATTTCACCGAATTTTAATTTGTCCACATTTTTATTTGCACGAATTTTTAAGACGCCGAATTTCCATTTGTCCGAACAAACAATCGTCAGAAATATTTTGGCGTAATTTTCAAAAATTGACCAATTAGAAATTATCAAGAAAATCGTGATTGGTCAATTTCAATAATTGCGCCGAAATCTTTCCGTCTATTGTTTGTTCGGACATTTTTAATTTCGGACAAATGAAAATTCGGCGTCTTAAAAAGTCTATTAATTAAAAATTCGAACAAATTAAAATTCAGTGAATTGGAATTTCTGTCATTTAAAAATTAGAATCACATAAAATTCAATTGAATGAGAATTCTGTCAAACTAAAATTTGGTATCTAAAAATTTATTTTGTTCTGTAAAAATTCGCATAAAATGAAATTCTGTCAAATGCTAATTCGAAAAATAAAAACTCGTTTAAAAAATAATTAATTCTAATAAAATTCTTTAAAATAAAAATTCTAAGGAATTTTTAGGACTAATTTTACAGAAAATTCTGTTCTTATTAGATTGAGCAGGGAGGCGAACTTACTATGTAAAGATTTAGATTTCTTTGATAACTCTCTGGCAAGTTTTATTGTAAAACTACGCAAAATCATTATTGTAAATGATTAATCACGTCGGCCTGTAAAATTTTATGTACAGGTTTCTTTTTAAGGTTCCGTACTCGGTTCGGAAAAATATAGCGAACTTGATACGGATCAATTTACATAGCGTTGTCAAGGAAAAATAAAAAATTTCTAAAAAAACGGTTATTTCTCCCCCTAGCGCACACAATATTCAACCCAGACAGTTCATATTTGGTGTATAAATGTATTTTTGTGTGAAAATTACAGTGAAAAAGATGTGAGCATGATTGGAGTTAATGATTAATTTTTATCAAATTTTTAAAGAAAAATGATAATTTTAAGGAAAGAAATTAATGTATATTTCGACCAAAAACTAAGAAAATTTTATCTAAAGTAATTCAAATTTATATATTTTTACGTGTAGATTAAAAAAAAAATATAGCGAGGACGATTGAAGTTGATGGTCCTGGTGCTGTCAGGAAAGAACTGCGATAATAATAGAAAAAATCATGAAGTTTCTCCCAAAAACGAAGAAAATCTTATCTAAAGGGCTTAAAATTTATTCATTTTTACACATTTTTGTGTGTAGATTATAGAAATAATTTAAAAAACATGATAAGAAGTTGTTTTAATTAAGTTTTTTTTGAAAAAGTGGACTTTTCCCATAAGGTTTTTAATAGTTTCTCTGTTCCATTTATTTTTTTCTAATTTTTTTCTCTTTCTTCTATTCTTCCTTTTTTGATTCGATATTCTTTTCACATTTTTTTTAAAGAAAATTTTTATTTTAATTGAAAATAAAATCGGACAAGTGCGAGTTACACTCGCAATGAAATCGAGGGTTCCGTACTCGAAGCGAACTTACTTAGTATAAAAACAAATGTTTAAAAAATATGTGTTGTATAACAATAAATAATATAAGTGATACGAAGAGGAACAATTTTCTTAAATTTTACAAAATTATTGTTCCTTTTTTTATTTTAATTAATATATATTAAATTCAATTATTTTTTCTGTTTGTTAATTGCGCTTTGAGTAAAATTTTTTTTTGTTCAAAAGGGCATATGCCTCTATATCTTTGTAAATAAATAAATAATTTTTATGGAATAATCATACGCCCCTCAACATTTTTATTATTATTTAATACTAGCTTTCGTACCCGCCTTCGGCGGGAGCGAAATCTAGTAGTGTGCGCCCAACACTATTTTCGTGCAAATAATTTTTTGTATAGATAGTTGATTGTTATTAAAAACTTGAACTAATAATTTCACAAATTTGTTAAATTTTAAAATTGTTTAAAATTTTAAATCTAATAAACACATACTAAAAATATACTAAACTTTTATTTTTCTTTATCAACTTCGTAATTAATGATTTCAAATGTTTTGAATCTCTAACAGATTAACATGATTAATTTGATTTCGTTTAAGCCTTGTTTTGATAATTCTCGAACCAAATTTTTCAAACAGCATCATTATTCTATTATCTTTTTTCATTTTTAGATTCTTTATTTCTTAAAAAGAAACATTATTTCAGAAGTTTTATGTTCTAAGCTATATACAGGGTGTTCCAAAAGTATGGAAACTTGCAAATATCTCGAAAAGTACGAATTTTCGTAAAAAATGTTCAATACAAAAGTTGTTCCAAACAAAAAGATCTACATTGGTGAAACCAAAAAATTGGGCCCTACAATGAAAAAAGTAGTTTTTTTAAAGGAGACCACTAATTTTGAATATCAAATTCGTAATCCCCATGAAATTCTGCGTTCAGACGTGTGGTATAAGTGCCGAAAATATTGGGCCTAATCCAAGATATGGGGCCCAACATTTTCGACAAAGAAATACATTTAAAAAATCGTATCTTTGGGGGTTTTTGGGGTCACAGGATTACAAAATTCAAAGCTACTTTTCAAATCGGGCATAGAGCCCAATGTAGGATTCCGCGGCCCAATGTAAGGCTCACAGTAAAAAAATAAGTCTAAATGCCAAAAATATTGGGCCCAATATTTTTGGCATTTGTACTACAAAACTAAATCCAGAATTTCATGGCGATTACGAAATGGATACTAAAAATTAGTGGGTTTTATTTTAGACAACTAATTTTTTTACTGTGGGTCTTACATTGGGCTCTGTGCCCAATTTGAAAAGTATCTTTGAATTTTGTAATCCTGTGTCCCCAAAAACCCCCAAAGATACGATTTTTTAAATTTATTTCTTTGTCGAAAAATGTTGGGTCCGATATCTTGGATTGGGCCCAATATTTTCGGCACTTATACCACATGTCTGAACGCAGAATTTCATGGGGATTACGAATTTGATATTCAAAATTAGTGGTCTCATTTAAGAAAACTACTTTTTTCATTGTAGGGCCCAACATTGGGCCTGGGGCCCAATTTTTTGGTTTCAACAATGTAGATCTTTTTGTTTGGAACAACTTTTGTATTGAACATTTTTTACGAAAATTCGTACTTTTCGAGATATTTGCAAGTTTCCATACTTTTGGAACACCCTGTATACAAATAGACTGGTA